ACGATCGTGGTTCGCAAAATGTGAAGTTCAGTCGAAACTATGTATGACCAACTGTCATGAGACCACAGCTTTTCAGGGTCTAAACTCCCTCACTTGAGCCGAGTCTCCCAACAATCTAGCGATGTTCTGCGATAGGAAATGAGGCTTATAGGATCGGATCAATAGTATCAATCGATGATATCGCTAGCGCGCACCAGTCGTTCGCTCAACCTTACTTTAGTTCAACCGTGTCTACTCAAGTTATATCTGGTCCCAAATGCGCCGCCGTAGGAACGATTCGATCATGCAGCCGTGCCGATGTCGTGAATGCCTGGCGCAGAATCCTGAAGGATTATTGGTCTCGTATGACGTTCTAAGCACGCATCGGCACCGGGAACGTCTCAGAGGAGCCTTTCCCTCTAGTGTCAGGGGAGAAACTGCAGAGACTGGGGAACCTGACACGCTTGGCGTAGAACCTGCAGGTCATACCCCCTCCGAAAGCCAAGCATCTAGCAAAGGCAAAGGCAGGGCGGGCTTCGACGTCGAAACAAACGTCGATCAAGACATGAACTTCTCGCCTCAAGCCATTATTTCCGAGATCGATGTGCGCATGGAGACTCTTTATCATTCAGAAATTTGTTTGACGTTTATCAACGAACCCTCTCCACACCTGCCCTTTGTGTTTCCGAATCCTGAGACCTTACCGCAAGTGAACTCGGGCCATTTCGCTTTGGACACGACTAGACTTCCTAATCGTCGCTTGCTGGATGCAGAAGCAAGATTTTGTGGTCTTTTAGACACAATTCAGACCATGCCTTTGGGAGAGCGCTCAACAGGGGAAGCAGATGTAGAGGATGAGCTTTTCCTGGCATTGAACAAGATTCATCGCATCAAAGAGAGGCAATGGAGATCCCAAGCTTATCCTGAGGGACGTGGGGGTTCTACCTTTGACAACAGTATGTATAGTCAGTCTTCCACTGCCCTAATCATTGTCTGAAACTTCCTCAGGACGTCGATTCATTGTTCAACGGCTCACTCACATGACACCGGTTCTGATAGCTGCTCTGATAATGTACATCAAATTCCAAACTCCAGTTCGTCAAATGCGAGTGCTTCTGGCCTTGTTCCGTTGTATCGTCCGAGGCTTGAGTAAAGAGCGAAATACCCAATCTCAGCTTCCATCCCAGATTCCGAAAGACATTCACACCATTGTTGACCACTATGATCTTGATCCGACCTTGCATATTTGTGTTGCATGCCCGAAGTGTTATGGTCTCTTTCGTTTCACAAACGAGGTGCTCAGCGCTGCAGAGACTACTTACAGAACGACTGAAGCACTACCTCTGTGCACTGAGAAGTCTCACCCAGACTCACCACCATGTGGAGGTTCGATATGGCGAACTCGTCGAATCGGTTCTCGTACGTTCGTCACCCCTATTCGGAAACAAGTTTTCCAAGACTTGAAGGAATGGATTGGGAGAATTCTTGCGATTCCAGGCATCGAAGAGATAATGTCTCAACACCACCAACGTCCCGCTCCAGTCGGAGACGAGCCTGTCAGAGATTTTGTTGATTCTGCAGCATTTCGTCAATTCAAGGGTGCGGACGGTAAGCCGTTCATGATACCTCAGGTCGGACCGTCTGGATCACCAGATCTGCGACTTGCCCTGAGTCTAGGATTTGATGCGTTCAATCCATTCCAATCGAAAGAAAGGCATGCCATCGTCTCGTCCACCGCTTTATACATGGTACTGTTGTCCCTACCTGAACACCTTCGATATCGACAAGAATATATCTTCTTGGTCACAGTGATCCCTGGCAAACCCAGCAAACATCAGATCAATCACACCCTGCGCAGGCTGGTCAAACAATTGCTTTCCTTCTGGGAGGGTGTATTTTATGTCCAAACTGCACAATATAGTCTTGGTCGGCGGGTTTTTATTGCATTAATGCCTGCTGTATGCGATACGGAAGGTGCTACCCAGCTTGCAGGGTTCGCTTCGCATACCCACACATGGTTCTGTAGGCGATGTCTGCTACCTCTCAATGAAATTCATAATCTCGAACCGGAAACTTGGGTAATGCGGGATTGTGGTAAGCACAGAGAGATAGCTCTTGAATGGAAAGATGCGTCTGAGGCACGGCGGGAAGCGATTTATACGGAGCATGGAATCCGACACTCGGAGTTACTGGAGCTGCCATATTGGGATCCAATTCTTTTCACGATCATCGACGACGTGCATTTTGCATACCTTGGTCTTCTAAAAACTCACCTGGAGAAGATATGGTTCATTGATTCGGAGAGAAATGGTGGCGACGGACTTCATCCGTCTACTAAAGATCAGATTCGATTATCAAGAGCTGGCCTACGCAAACTCTTGGAGGAGATTAGAAGGAATCAATCCTCTCTAGAGAAGCTGTTGATGAAAGAGACCAAAGCCGTCCTATGGTCTCTCTGTTTTGAGCTTAAGCTTCGTACAGGAGTTCGCGTCAAGCGTGAGTTAGTGAATCAAATCTTACAATGGGTGAGTTATATACGATTGACAATCATCACTTATTCCTGATTTGTTTCTGTTTCATTCGAAAGCGCTTGACATCCGATCCAGACGACGTACCTGTAATCCCTGCCTTGAGCTATGATAGAGACCCAGTCGGGTGGGAGGACACTACTGCACAGCCTGCCTCTAGTTCAATCGATGAATTCCGCGTTTCCGAATCAGTATGTCTTGTCTCATTCTTCCAACCCATCATTGATGATTCGAAAATCGCAGCAGTCAAGAGCCCCTTCCCCATCGATGTCCTCGTCAACGAGAGCTTCCTCAGTTTCAAGAGCCTCGTCAGTCTCAGGAACTCCCTCGGTTTTGGATCCAACCGAAATACCACCGGTGATGCGTTCCGCCCCATTGCTAGTCTTCAACAAAGATTCCGCTTTTGAAACTCTCATGTCGAAGTTGCTCAACCTCTCAGGCAAAGCGCCCCGACTTATGAATTCGAAGAAACAAGTTCTTCAAGCCCTGTGTCAAGAACTTGGAATTAGGTATAATCATCAAGATTCGAAGGCCATCCTTTCAGCGCGACTCATGCTACATGTGTGTACATTGTTAACGATCAATTCACTGCTTCTAAAGATCCGAAAACAGCGTCAAGAACATGGGGCCGATGACGAGGCTCCGCAATTACAGTATAGTGAACTCAAAAGGACATTCGAAGCAGACGAGCCTTCAAAGTCTGGCTTCATGAAATTCGCACTCGTGCATCTTCATAACTTGTGCAGAGAATACAAAATACCACCATTTGATTCGGATGAATCCGATATCATCTCCTTCAAAAAGATTGAAATGGTTCGAAGATTAATTCTATGGGTAAGTGAATCAGTATCTTTCTGTCTGAATACTTCTCATTTTTTTATCAGCGTCAAGAACATCGTGACAGTTCCATAAGAGCAAACCCAGAATCCACACCTCGTCATGTTATCGGCAAAGACCTTCTAGCGGAGATTTGGGCTGACATGGGACGGACTATTCTTCCTACGTGGATACAAGCGCCGCCTCCAAAATGGGGCACTATTGCAGCGGGCAAGCTCAGCGCTGATGAGTACAAAGTCATATGTTCAATATCGCTCGTCGTCACACTGATTCGTGTTTGGGGATATGAAAATGCAGAAGGGGTTGAGTCCCGTCGTTTCAAGATGCTGCAGAACTATGTGGACCTTGTCCATGCTATCCACGTCCTATTTTTGCGCGAAACATCCCAGAAGTCCAGGGCCTACTACAAATCTCATATGTTGAGGTATCTACACACCGTCTTAGACCTGTATCCCGATATCACACTCAAATCAAATCATCATCTCGCTATCCATATCATCACCGACCTCGAGAATCTTGGTCCAGGACATGCTCGTAGTACCCCAGTATTTGAGCGTGTCAATCATGCTTTGCAGATGATCAATTCCAACCAACATCTAGGTGAGCTTTCAATGAACCTAGCCCTTTCCTTCTTGAACATGTATTGCAGGTGAATTGGAGGCCACAATGATGACTCATTTTGGCCGTACAGCCAACTTACAAGTGATATTGAACCACAATACAGATCTACAACAGAAAATTGCCGAAGCGTTGACTGCCCTTAAAGATATCGACCGTGAAGACCATCGGGGAATGTTTGCTGGGACTGATTTGTCGGCTTGGTCCAGCACGGAATTCAAGGCGACACCCGCCTGTATCGACGAAGCCACCCTTGCTCGCATCGTGACTTGTCTGTGCGAGCTGTACACTGTTCCCCGCTCGTATTGGGAGAACAAAATTTCGCGTCAGGCTCGTATGTTAGGGGGAGTAGTGATTGGGCGAGTGATCTATTCGCCAAGGGTTCGCCAAAATTCTGTCATCTTTCGCAATGAGGGAAGAATATTGGCTGGAATAATTACCAAGGTCATAGATCATCCCCATCCCCATCCTGTCACTCGAGATATAATCAGGACCTCATATCTTGAAATATCTGTCATGGAACCGATAAATCAGGACGATGACTTGTATCGACAATTGAACTGCGGGTGGTTATGTTTACAGGTACCTCCAACAACGACGCTTGTCACGGTTCTATGGTCAAGTGTCATTTCACATTTTGTCAGGACGGATTTGACACTGGCCATTAAAGGAGATCTTGTTACGCATGTGTATCCTGTCCCAAAGGGGAGTATGCTCCGGAACATCCATGATCTACCGCACCTAATGTTTTATAATAGATATTCAGCGAGAATGATTCCGGAATGCCAACACTGTCCGATCACTAGGATGTTCGGGATAGGCGTTATGAATAAAACACATACTGTAAAACACATTTCTAGTTTTCGGAGGTCCATCAATGGGGTAACAACTGTGATATATTTCTTTCAAACCGCTTTGTCCTATATGGAATGTCATTGTCCTCGTTGTAAACAAAGGCCTGCAAATGCACTATAAAAGGCCAGAAATTCCTCAATCGTTCTGTCCATTTCCCTATCTCTTGAGAACACTCTCCTAATCATGTCTACTGTGAGTCCATGACAGCCTGACTTTGTTAAACTCTCATCGGATTTTCAGAAAGTTCGCATCTTGTCATCCGATACTCCGCGCTTGAAATTGCTAGAGCAGCGTGCTGAGCAGGGACGCCAGGAAGTCCTTGAGCTCCGCAATAAGGTTCAGGAATTAAGCACTCAAATATGGAACCAGTATCAAAGGATGTACGAAACAAATGTATGTCATTGTTCTCTACGCTTAGCCCTTGTAGTAACATAAAACAGGCCGACTCGATATGCCTCGAATTAGGGATAGAGAAGCTGAAATCGGTTATTGTCGATGAAACAGCTATGAAAATAAATCTTCGGACCCAAATTTTGGCCTCTCTGGGCTGTGACCTGGCTGATGAAGGATGTATTGAGGCGATCACAACAAGCGAAGTATGCAGAGTACTACAACCCTTTGGGAAGGACTCATACTCAGCAATTAGTCAACACGTTTTTGGTCTTTCCTGGAAAGATCCCGGTCCTCAAACGCCGAATTGACCAAAGAACCAAGTGTACCAAGTGTTCGTTGTCATTCCTGCTCATTTCTTTTATCTCTTGCGTACTTGACTGTATAGGTACCACGAAAATCTGTCTGGCTACAGGGGGAACTACCAGAAGGCACAGAATCTAGCGTGCGTTGATTTATCTTGCCTCCTACATCTTCTGCGCGTACCTGAGTGTTTTTTAGGCATCACCCAAGTCTCCACCTTGTATACAGAAGGAAATAAATGACGAGGAATTCAACGTATGTCATTCTTCTGTTTCCTTAATGTTGTGCGTCACCGGGTATGTAGGCATTGCCGGATACCATCAATCGCTCACAGGAAGATAAGGAATTGAGAGTGGGTCGATCCGATTCTGACATTCCCACTCATCTCATACTAAACTGAGCATGCAGACACCACTGAAATTCCCTTCTTGCCTGCCAGAAGGATTGGAAGAGGTAGAGCTAATGACGCTGTTGGCCATACAATGTACGGAGCTTCAGAAGATCGCAGGAAGCTTGTCGGACGCGTCAATCTTCCAACAGTGCACTCGTTTATGCGATCTAGCGTACAAAATGAAGTGATTTTTGCTATGTAGTATTACACGTTGATTATTTAGGCCTCAGCCTTTATTTTCAATACATTGTTTGTTCGACCTACCCAATGAATGTCTCCGCTGTCTGTTGTCGACTGATTTTTCAGGTTTCAAGGATCGTTGAATATATTTAGAAAGAGTTATGTAGCCCATAAATACAAAGTTCCGAAATGAAATGCTACAAACATCACTGCCATGAACTCTCCTACCATAGATAACATCCACCATACAATGAAAGTACATATGAAGGCACCCGCTAGGATTGTCGCATCCACAGCAACTTTCAGGACGGCATTCCTCTGTCGGAGCAGGCAAATGAATGTCAGGGTTATATGCGATATACATGAAACATCACTTACTTCCTTTGGAGCTTGTACTCGTTCCTGAGAATAGTACTGAACAAAGATGAACGTTGCAACACTGGGAACGAAAAACCCAATGGTAACAGCATGTGGCTGACTAGGAAACATTTTTGCGAGTTTCCAAAGCAATTTGATTGTGAACCCTAGATAGCTCAGTATTCCTGCATTGAATAGTATTTTCGGGAGTTGAATATGAGAAACCTAGATATAGAAGGAGTGAGTGAATGTCCACGAAAGTTATAGTGAGCACGCACAATGGAATTTGTAAGGAAGAAGTGACTGCCAGAGTAGATCCAATGGCGTGCATTGGAGGGAGTCACAGTGCGGGTTGCCTCAAGGCTCACTACACTTCCGACCGCTCCTCGAGCAGGACTCAGATGCGCGTCAAGTCGGGTCGTCTTCACTTCATCAGGAACTACTCCTACTGACTGTTGAATAGAATCGAGCTGTGCTGTCTTCTTTGCAGCAGGATGCACCGGCGACTGCGAGCGCTGAGTAACACGTGTATCACCCAACAGTAGAAATCCGGAAGGTTCCGTTGAAGACGACGATCGACGATTTCCACATTGGGGATCGTACGACTCCGAGCTTTGCACTTGTTCGAGTTGCTGCGAAATCATCAGTCAGACCGAGCGAGGCAGCCATCAATCATAGCAATACCAATATTCGTTCCGCACCATGACCACTTGACATTTTATCTGCTAGACCGTTGGGTTCGTACCACCCCTCGTTATTAGGGACAATTTTCGAAAACGACGGACTGCCCATAGAGCTAGTAAGCGAGAAGACACTTGTATACTGCAACGCGCTAATGTCCAGTTTGAAACCAGGACTAAGCCGAAGTGATGTTTAGAGATGAAGGGGGAGACTAGTCTCGATGTCACGATCATGATTCTGAACTTCAGATCCGTGACCGCATGTGACAGTCACATAAACGATTTCTCTCTAAGACTTCCACTACAGAGTCAAACTCAGTAGCAGTCTCTATCTTTATCTGGACAGCAAATCTCGTCAACACATTGCGACATCTACTTTCCTGTTATCTATCTTCCACAAGGCGATTGCTACAGAGTTAAACTCAGTAGCAGTCTCTATCTTTATCTGGATAGCAAATCTCGTCAACACCTTGCGACATCTACTTTCCTGTTCTCTATCTTCCACAAGGCGATTGCTACAGAGTTAAACTCAGTAGCAGCCTATCTGATCTCAGACAGCTTGTTCGGAGTCCTACTCAGCATCCGACGCCTATACCTGAATATCGACCTCATTCAGACCTAGTACCTTCAAATTTACATGCTCTACGACAGCATCCAATGTCCCTCCTTGGTACCCAAGTACTCCTACATGGTTCAAATAGCAGTACAGGTACATATCACAAGGCGGATGCAATAAGCACAGTGTCAGGACTGAAGGAGACAAGGGCGGTTCACGAGTGTGTAAGGTTAGTCGTCTCACGTATTCATTTCCCGGTACTTCATTGAATACACTATTTGTAGCCGGGGCGTCAACGATATAGCGAGAGGAGTAAAGCCTTCAAGAGCTGACGACTTCCCTGATAGATCCCGGTAGGCGTTCACTCTCAGCTAGGGAGGCTGTCGTCACCGGGCTTTCCATCCTTCTCCTCTGTCAATCCATCTTTTCAAAAACGTGGCAATGAAGGCTGATCCTGGGTCTGGGACCTCTGCGACTGTCCCCATCTGTTGCTTATTAACGGCTGGTACGTACTCAGAATTTAGTCCTGCTCTATGTATGTTCAATATTTTAAGTAAGGCGTTAGAGGGTATCAGCAGCAACCAACGAGCGAGACATATTTGCCTGAGTCGGGGTTAATGGACCTGCCGGTTAGTCGATGATCTTAGCTAATATTTAACGACTTACGTTGATTTCACAGATATCCGAGTTTTTCGAGCTCCCCCGCCGTCTTTGACAGGGTCTGGAGTTTCCTTTTTAGGACAGGAAAGGGTCGCTTTGACGATTTTTCCCTTTTATGGACGGAGAAGGGTCGCTTTGACCATTTTTTCCTTTTAGGGACGGTAAAATAGCGTAACTCGCAATCTGTTCCTCTCTGTTCCTCTCTCTCTAATTAATACACACACTCAATATCTCACCTTTCGTTATGCAATGTTTTTATCCTTCAATTTCGGGCCATCTTTCATGGTTCTTCTGAATGTCTGGACCACTCACGCCCCGTATGTTTACTTGTCCACCAATACATTGTGCTAACACTCCTATGGTCTCTGTATTGCTCTGTTCATGAGCTCAACCTCTGCCAGTGCCACTGTTTTCATTGTTTGTTTGTTGGAACCAGGGAAATCCACAGTGTTTTAATATTTACAGACTAATCATCGCTCATCCATCCTTATGTCACCAAGTCACTCACTGCTAGTTTTGCAGTTGACCCACAACAATTTTAGCTTCTTCTCAATCCACCAGGTTCTGCACAACTCACCTGGCTTCTGGACAATCCACCTGGCTTCTGGACAATCCACCTGGCTTCTGGACCATCCAACTGGCTCTCTCCACTGCCCCAGAGCAGAATCAGTATGTTAAATTCATTTTATTGCATTATTCTACCTAATTTGATGTTGCTCTTTTTCCCCCCCCAGTCCTCTCTTCCTAATCATCTCGTATCCGATCCGATGCCGAAGCGCCCCGTCCATAAACTGCGCGCTTTGTACGCATTTCGGAAAGCGCGCGCAAAATCGGCGGCGGATGGGCCAGGCGTACTTTACGCGTTTGTGGACCTCGGCGGAACGCTCTGGAAACTCGGCCACACGAACAACTTCCCTCGAAGGCGAGCCGAGTGGGACAAACAGTGTCCGTGTCCCGACCGTGTGTGGCTACCTCCTGTTCCGGTCCCGCGAAGGAGGCGGGCAGGTAAGTACCAATAATACCATCTGATTGAGATGCTCATCTGTTGTCAGAATCCTTATCACATCTCCTATTGGAGATTGTTTGCCAGGATAGACCTAGAACTCTTTGTTCTCAATGTATGTATACTCTGCTTTCTGAAGAGTAAGCTCATGTGCTGTTTCTGAAGGCACAAAAGTACATATTGAAAAATTTACATTCATTGGTAACATTTACATTGTTTGGAACACAATCATTCAACATGTTCTGACAAGAGCTGCAACAGCTTGAAGGTATGACCTTTGTTATCCATGTCTTCATGTTCAAGACTGACAATTTACTAGATCCCTGTATGGAGAATTATACATGTTCATTGTATCTGTACTTATGTAGATATTATGCAGCCACTATGTTCTGATAAATGACAGGAAAAGCCCTCCCCAGGGCCTTCTGTGTATTCATAGATGGGGCCAGAAGCTATGTCGTTCCTATATAGATCGTGGTGTTCATTACTAACTTAATGCTAGGTCAAAACTGGCACGTCCCGAATTCCCTGAACGTCGCGCGTCTCGATATCTCGACACCAGCGACGTTTCTACGTCCGAACATCTCGATATCGACGACGTTTCGGTGTCTCGATGTCTCGATATCGACGACGTCTCGACGTCTCGATGTCCCGACATCGGGTACGCATAACCTCGGCGAGGTTATTTTGAACAACCTCATGTTTTTCGCGAGGTGAATATCTCGTGAAAATTTTATACAACCTATAGGAGAATATTGTACGATTATTTTAAATATGTTCCTCATGTTCACTAGTAGGTTATTTTACGATTATTTCAAATTTTTGGCTGCCGAAAATATTAACCAATCGCGAGGCACAAATTCATTATTATATCCTCACTTTTATTGGTAGATTACTTAGAATAACCGCATAATATGAGCTTTATATTCTATATCCGGCTATCTGAGAATTATACAAACTTTTCGACGTCCCAAAATCGGTCAATATTTGGTAAAAATCTACGGATAATGGACGGATTTTGGAGGCGCCAAAACGCCCTCTTCCCCACAGTGATGGGCTGGTCGGGCTTTGCACGAATTGATGGCGTAACTTGGCAATGGATGGGACAGTCACCAATAGGCAACAGCACAACCCTACTAAGTTCAGAAATTACACCAACCTCCACCAGATTTTCCGTCCTCGCCGGTTCCGTGTTGTTCAACTTGACTTTCCTTAGTCCAATTGAGGTGTGCTATAACGACCTCTCAATCATTATTCCACACTGAATCTCACTTGCTTACAGCCTTCAGACTGGGTCAAACAGTCCTTACCATTTATTTATCTTTCTCTCGAAGCTGAATCTATCGATGGCCAAGCGCATGATGTACAAGTTTATAGCGACATTAGCGCAGGTGTGTCCCGATATCCCGGCTTAATTATCTCTGGTTTTTCAATGATCATATGTAGAGTGGATATCCGGCAACCGGGGTCTGGTCGCGACTTGGCAGACAACACAGACCGATTCATCTGTATATCATCGAGCCCAGTTGCAATCGCCTGAATATATGACTGAAATCAATAACATTGCTGAAGACAGCACGGTGTACTACTCAATGCAAACAGTGAGTTAAGCTCTCTGCATGTTTCTCTTGTTGACATGCAGAATTCCTCCAGGGAGCTCAGCTGACATACCAAACTGGTCAAGATAGTGTGGTCCGCGGTCAATTCCAAAGTAAAGGTTCTTTAACAAACCAACAAGACACCAACTTTCGCGCAATCAATAAGTGAACGAGCTATCTCTCATAGAAGTGATCAATATTCTCATATTAATCCCTCAATTAGTGATTTCGTCGTGCTGGGCATATCGGTAGACCTTGGCACGAACACGAACTTTCTGACTCCCGTTGTGTGGGGTCTTGGCCTTGTTCGTGATCCTGTCATCGAATACACCGTCTCTGCCGGTAGCACTATAACTCAAAATCGGAGTTCATACTTCTGGACAGAGTTTGACACCATTTCGGATGCTGTGAGTTCTATCTTTTCTAACATTTAGTCCCTAACACGATCATCATTTGTTCAGATCGACAGTTTCCTAGCAGATTATTCGAATGCGACTGACAGAGCTAACAAACTCGACCAACAAATCATGAATGCCGCACAAGCTGTGTCTTCTGAGTATGCGGACCTTGTTGCCTTTGGGACTAGGCAGGCAATGGCCAGTTCAGATATCACAGTGGCTAAGAACTCTGATGGGACATATAACACCTCGGATGTGAAGGCGTTTCAGAGGGATACAGGGATTGGGCAGTAAGGAATAGCTTCTTCTTTGCATACTGGTTAACATCGAAGATTGATTTTAGACGGGTCAATGCGGTAGAAACGCTGTTCGCGACGATGCCGATTCATCTATATCTCAATGCTTCGCTACTGGGGATTCATTTAGATTCGTTACTTCAGTATCAGTCCTCTGGTTATGCAAACGCCTATGCTGCACCCGATCTTGGTAGGACTACTCTTTCTCTCTTGACTCGAGACAGCCAGTTAAATAGTTTTCGACGCAGGGAATGCTTATCCGTTAGCAAGTGGCGATGCCTTAGACACTCATAGCAGAGGGATCGAAGGTTACCTTTTTTTAGTTCTTGAACATCCCGAAAAGTTTCGCTGATTAAACATCCAGACACGGGAAACATGCTTATCATGACCTTGGCTCATGCACGAACCACAGGAGACGGTACTTTGATCAAGAAATATGTAAGTGAGAAGGACTTCTTGTGCATGAGTCGGTTTGAAATTCCCGACCACCCCAGTATAACCTTCTGAGTACATGGGCGGATTACCTTGTATCAAACGCGCTATATCCCAACGGACAGTAAGTGTAAAATTTTCTCGTCTGATCAGGACAATTGCAATTTTGGATAGAACCTCTGCCGATGGGATAACGGAATCCAACAACACGAATCTAGCTATAAAGGGCATTATTGGTATCGCCGCAATGGCAGAAATCAGTCAGGCCATGGGCAACACCGCGGCTGCACAGCAGTATCAGGTGATTACAACCGTCAACTTTTGTGATAATCTTCAAATATCGAATCCTTTCATTGCACAGGCGAATGCAACGACCTATGTCAAGCTATGGGAAAGTCTAGCTTCAAGCTCCGGACATCTTCTGCCAACCTACGAGGACGCCTCTTCATCCGACTTTGCGCTGATGTACAATATGTATGCCGATACCTTGCTCAAAACAAATCTAATAGACCAAAGTGTATGTATACCTCTCTCATCCGCCGCGGTAGATCAAAAGCTGACTTGAGCCGTTTAACCGTTAGATCTACTCCTCTCAAGCTTCATATTATAGCAACCTCACGCAATTAGGTATGTACCGGAATAGCGAACCCAATTGACTTGTAAACTGATGATTGGCGTAGCGGGCAAGTTTGGTCTCACTTACGATAACACCAATTCCAATAAGCAAGCAAACTCTGCGTGGACTTTGTTCACTGCCGGATCGATTGCTTCTGTCAGTTCTGTGACGCAGAATCAGCTCATTGATATGGTTCATACACGAGCAGGCTTTAATCAGACGACAGGAGACTTCCCGCTGATATACGACGATCAAACAGGGAACTCTTCGACGACTAATGGACTCGCGAGGTAAGACGTTCGGCTCCCATTGGATTAGAATTCATTTACCGAAGTTGAAAACCTTAGTCCTGGTCAAGGCGCCATGTTCGCTCTTCTTGCTCTAACGTAAGTCTTTGCCGGATTTTGATTGCTCGTGTTCTGAACATTTTTCGAACCAGTGTCGCAAACTCTTCAATCACAATTCCCGCTTCTTCTTTGAGCCCATCGCAAAGCATTAGCGCAGGCGCAATTGCAGGCGCTGTCGTAGGGAGTGTCATTGGTGTAGGCTTACTGATTGGCGTGGGCTTGATCATTTGGTTACGCCGAAGACGGCGGTTGCAACTTCCCAACGATGAGCAAATATCTTTTGACAGACCACCACCGAGAATGCCTACCAATGCGAACGCTTACCATGATTCAATAGAAGCACCAACACAGCCCTTTGATTCTCACACGCTCTACGTTTATGGGGATCGCAAGCAACCGGCGACAAGTACTACAATTGATACATCCCGAATACAAAATACACCTGGAGAGGGTAGCGAATCTGGGTATACCGTGTCATCGCCTACGAGTCAGAGTATGCTGAGTCGAAGTACGCTCATGAGATCGGAAACGACTCAGCTAAGGAATGATGTGGAAAATCTAAGGAGGGAGATGGCTGTACTGCGGGCTGCTCAGCCCTACGATGATGCACCCCCTCCTCAGTATACCTAGCTCTTCAATGGATTGTTTTTCTGTATAAATACCCATCTACATGATTGGGCTTGAGAGCCTGAGTTCTAAAGTGCATGTCAAATAATGTAGGCTGATGCATCGACGTTCAACGTTCAACATTCAAGCTGAACTAGCGCGCTATGATTAATGCTCTCAAGCGCGTCTATTTCTATCATCTCCTTACCGGCTCCTCACCATCTCGTCTGAGTCGTCTCTCCCATGGAGTGGCAAGAACCTTTCAAAAAGGCAGTGGCGTACTTCAAACGATCCAAGTACGGAGAATGTCTTCGCCTGCTGAATTACGTGTGTTTCATGTATCGTATATGAAAGAAATACCCTTTGAAAGATGTTGCAGGCTCTCGAGAACGGCGGACGTGACCAGTATGCGATTTACGATTCGAGAGCAGCAGTACATGAAAAGACTTTGCGCCTTCGCGAAGCTTTACTCGATGTTAAAGAGGCCATCCGGTTAGCTCCCAATCGTTGGCAATGCTATTCTCGTGCAGCGCGTTTGTTCCTCCTGATACGCAAATTCGAAGAAGCGTCCAAGATGGTTGATATTGCGCTACAGAAAATTGATCCGTCCGACGATAAGAACCGTGCTACGCTCGTTGCCCTTCAGTCTCAGGTCATTGAATCTCGAAAACGTCTTAGCTGTCACGTCGGCATGCTTCCCGTTGAACTCCTGTCCTCCATCTTTCAGTATATGGTCGAAGAAGAGCCAGTTCTCGTTATCAAAATATCGCGGGTCTGTCGGCATTGGAGAACGGTGGCATTAGGAGATGCCGCTCTCTGGTCGACTCTCGTCCTTTCGAAGAAAGATCCTAATCGGAAGAGCAAATGTTGGATTCAGCGCTCGAGGGGGAGAATTCGGGAACTGTGCCTCCGTAGGACACTCTCCGATAAAGTTGATTGGTCTTTGGAAAAGTTGGGTGGAATCCAGTGGGATTATATTCGAACATGCCAGTTGGAGGACATCGATATCCTCAAACAGCTGGAGAAGGCAGGCGCATTGCATGTCATTTCTCAGCTTGAGACGCTGGTAATCCGGGACAAGCTGATGGATTCCAGAGAAGAATTTGTTTCCTATTTGAGTGACAATCTCAGACACTTGACCATTGATGGTGCCCTGCATGTATGGTTGAGTGATTTACAAGTGCATTCCCTTGTATCTCTTGAAACCATCCGACTTGGAGAGCGTTTCATTGGAGATCTCTTCCAGCTTCTGACCAAAAATCTGAGCTTGCAGTCGCTCGTGGTCAACTCTCCTTTCAGTGCGTTCAGCGAGTACCCTGAAGCAGCCATTACTCTAGCACATCTCACTGTCCTAGACTACTGTAGTGGGTCAACTCAGCTTTTCAAATTCCTGCGGCTTCCCTCCCTCCAAGTCATTTCAATTCAAACTTGCGTCCAAACCAAGAATGTTATACAGTGTCTTTTGGACAGTGGAACCTCACAGCTCAAGTCTATTACCTTCGACTCCTGCGCACATTTACCAGCCTCTGAGCTAATTCGTATTCTCTCCACCAACCCATTCGTCGCTTCACTCACCCTGAAGAAGTTCGGCGGCGGCACAGTAACACCCATCTTGGACATGCTGGGGTCATCCGAACAGTTGTGTCCCGCACTCACTCATCTAGACCTTTCGTCCAGCTCGGAAATTTCGTCTCACTTACTGGTCCAGATTGTGAGTTCCAGGATCACAGCAGTTGTTGAATCTTTGTTAAACCAAAACGAGGAGACGGGAAGGCCCCGCGTTGAGAAGATACACTCTTTGATTGTAGATGGATGCACCGGGATCGACAGCGACACTATCCCTTGGTTCTGTGAAAGGGTCCCACACTTCAGTTATGTGACAAGACAATGGAATGGGAGACGGTAAGAAACATCAAATCAGTCCTCTTCGCATTCTGTATTCTTTCTTTTATTTAGGGTTAAGTCACGATATGTATTTCTATAATTTAACCCTCATGTTAAATAATCTTCTGTATTCATTGCAATAGTACTTGTACAAAAACAAATTCCTTCGACTAGTTGTTTTTTACGAGATTAGCATGGGTAATGTCGAAAGTGCCCACTTGGGCAAACTCATTGACTATTGATACATATGGGTCGTTTTTAACCGTGTCTAGATGATGCTTCCAAGACTGTCAGCCAAAGAGAACCGACTTTTACTTATGGGACGTACTGTAGTAGACGACCAGCCAACGATGATGAGAATCAGGTCATGATTTTCTTCTCCCGTTGCAAACGCTGCCGGATGACCATTACTGTCCCAAACATCGCGCACCTTCAATCCCACCTTGCTCACACTCTCGAAAGAGGCCTCTTTCTTGGGCGTAATCAAGGCAAACTCTGTGGTCTCTGACTCTAGCGCCGGTATCGCCGTGCCCTTGACCAGATGAAAGTGGTAACGAACAAGGTTGTCGCCTGCGGCACTCATGGCGTCTTTCAGGGGTCTGAACTGTTTTGCAATGTCGTTATCTTGTTGAACGAGGGAAATCTCTCCAAATTTCTTGTGAAGTGCGATTGATTCCCAAACTAGAATCCTGGTGACAGAAAAGGCTCAGTACTTCGACAGATGGTGCCTCAGACACATACTGGAGATGAAATATAGGTTTTTGGCGCCTTCTTCAGTAACTTGTAAACCTTGGAAAGAGCTGTGGAAGATCCCCTCTCAGCACTGAAGCCCGTATCGTACGTGAGGATCTACCTGATATGTCCATCAGCTTTTCCCAGCAATCGAAAAGCATCTTTGAATTGAGGAAGGTCATGGCTAGCATTAACAGGAAACGCCACGTAGTGGATAATTGGTGCCATCTCGAGTTCGTGTGGTGCGATAGTGGCAGAGAGGGCTGAAAATCATAACAGCAAATCCACAGCTTTTATAAAAAACAAACATGCTGACTGTCATTACTATCAGTGGAATCATATTGAAGGCTGAGCACGACCGTGTAAAGTTTTAGGCACGAAAGAGTACTACATAGGTATTAATTCAATACTTGTACCTTGTGAACACTTCAGATCGGGCTTAGCTCGGGCGTATGATAGCAGCTTCTATTGGCCTAGCCAGCTTACAAAAGTAGGTTAAAGGCGAAAGTTCTCAGCTATCTAACTCACACGAAGGTCTAGGCAGCGGATGCAATTGTGGTACAATCAGATTAGCGCGCGCTAATTTCCCGCATTTGGTCACCTCCGTGTCCCGATCCTCCAAGTTTTTCTCCAAACTGACATGACCGAAATTGGTGGAGTCAGAGCTCTTCGATGAGGATATTAAATGGCTCATTTTGCAATGCTCCAGCTACTACGGAAGTGTATTGTTCAAAGCAACATTGGTGAATACTGATGCTAAATGTATGAGAGCAGCTGAGAACAACATAGACAAGAGGCCGTTTCCATTCCATCAACATCTTCTCTAACAGAAACAGAAGCAATTGATCACGGCTGACATTGATTTCAAGCTGTTCTCCCAAATCTTTGATAGTCAATGCCGAACGCACGGGGTGTATCCCCTTGTGACGTTCGAGTCTCCAGTAGCACGTTCTCTAGAGACTGACTGTGGTGTCAGTCACACAATTCTCTTTAGTTATGTTTAGACACTTGGGATTTCGCCTCGGAGTCCCACATCTTTTGTATATCCACATCATCCATTAAAGCTCCACTGCTTTACCCATGATCAAACATCCTTGTCTAGCGTCAGAGAGATGCCAATTACATCAACTAGGAACCGAAACTTATCGAGTATATGCATGGAATGAATAGACAGTGTGACTTTGACCTTACCCGGCTTCATTTGAGTTCGACCCAGGAATTTTTGCACAAATATAGAATAAGAAGATATGGCGGCAGGAGTCTTCATACACTATTCACGGGCCACCAATTACTGACCTTCCAGATTCTAAGAAAGAGATTATAATGGCGTGGAAAGAGTGAGATAACCACGTACCAAAAGAAACTCTGTTTTCTGCAACTCTGATATCGAGTAGCCGGAGCTGGGATCTTGTGTCTCGTACTTGACCTCTTCCCTCTCGCACTGTCCTACCCAATGAGGCTAGAGCTCGTAGAGCAGCATTGTGCCCTCAAAATCCTCTTCTGCGCTCGTTGTTTCCTGTTGCTTCCTCGCAATCTCCGCAGTCCTGAGACCAGCCTCCGGGTAAAACAGGTTACTCTGGCTATGAATAGCCAGCACATGCACTATGGACACAAGAGTTGAACAGATCTCCTTTACACAACTCGAGCTTTGGCTTGCGAGACTACGGTGGATCGTTGTCGATGCGAATGGAGATTCCGGATTTTGAATTGGACCAAGAAAGAGAGCATACTGTCTCTTGTGGGGCACTTAGTTCTAACCCACTGTCAGGTATGGCCTGGCACGGCTTTCGATTGGGCGAGATAGCGTGTTGGAAACAACAACAAAAATTGAAGAATAAGCGCTCAAACATTGTCGAAGTCCGGACCGACAGGTTCATTATAGGTAATACACTCTCAGACAGCGATGCACTTTCTCCCGAAGCCCGACCCATCTCCGGATCCGTTTCATCCGACCAGCAGATGATTTTCAAGGATGGACGAGCAGTCTGTTAGACAGTGGCTTCTTGGGTGGCTCGAGTTAGCGTAAATGAGTTATTGTCACATACCCCATCAAAATCTGAACGTGCCGGGGTATGTCCAACTTACGCATATGCTTACCCCCAAGTCTGAAGCGGGAGAAGATCCGATGGTGTGCATTTCGTCCAGATCCTAATTGATTGATTTCTAACATCTGCATAGTTGCTGTTATACGAATAGCTTTTAGGAATGAGCCCTCGGTCGCTCTCCCTTCATAGTCGCATTTACCTTATGCCAGGTAAGTTGTTCACTCTTTCACAAGGGTCTCATTTTTCATGCTGATTCAGAGTGATTCAGTCGTGGGCCAAATAAACAGATAAACAGCAGCGTAATCTTGATATTACTCTCTCTTGAGCCTCTACTAGTATGCGACTTTTGTCTCTACCTTCAAGCTATGCGGAAGGCTAAATTAAGCGACGATGCTCAGCAAGTAGTGGATTCAAAGACTTTTTGGGATCAGCTTCACAGAGGCGTTTTCCCGTTTGTGGGTCTTTATCCATGCCGACGCGTCTGATGTTCTTTGATCTCTGAACTTAGGCAGATAGAAACCTGCACAAATTTCATGTTATTTTTTGCCCTGATGCCACAGATCCTAGGATCCGCTTTTTCTGTTTTCCTTGTAGATCGACCGGTTTCTACTCCCATATCTACCCTCTTGCCGCTCTAGGGACCTTGCACGCCTGGAAATCACCTGAGTTCGGATCATCCACCCGACATCCTGCCTCGTACCAGACAGGCATGTCCTTGTAGTAACTGTGTTGAACGTTGAACGCTACTGCCATTCTAGGATCGATGTCCCCGCTTTTCACTGCCGCCTTTCTCAAGACCGAGGCAATCAGTGATAAAGGAAGTATACACTCTGTTCATATTCAATCGTACAGGTTATAAAAGTACATTATGTTCACTTTATTTAGATTTGAAGTTGAGATTCTCCTTTGATACATTCGATAGAATAACTCAAGTGTGCTTATCGAGGACGGCGTGGCTTATTTCAAGAGTAGCAAGGGCCGAGAGTGCACCAATGCCTGACGCGAAAGGCTCTTTCTTGACAGTCGCCCGACTCTCCTAAGAAGATTATCATGTCAAGTAGGGAGAGTCGGAGATGTGTGCAACACGTACCGCAACCGAAGGCCAGCCAATCACAACGATGTATACACCATCGCCCTGGACACTCTTCCCAAGAGCGGCGGGGTACCCATTTTCGTTGAAGCTATCACCAGTCTTATTTGCAGCCGCCGTGACAGCATCGCCTGATGCACCAGGGTTAGGCCTTACAATCACAAATTCGGTAACAGCGGTCTGGAGTCCAGGAATAGGCGATCCTCTAACCCCAGTGAACTAAGGTTGTTTTGTAAACAAAGATGATCGAAGACACTTGGTTGGAGGGCTTACTTGGAATCGAGTGAGCTCGCCAGCTGCAGCGGCCTTTAGACTCGATATAGCAACACCGAATGCATCGCTAGCGGTGAATTTCTTGTGGTGCTCAACAGATTCCCATACTGTGATAAGGAACGACTATCGATGTCTGATCGATTATGAGACAAATCGTGCTCGTACCGGTGACAAGATATCCCGTCTTAGCACCTTCTTCAGCAGCCTGCAAGCCCCAGAACGAACTATGGAGAAGAAAATGATCAGTGATCATGATTCCCGTTGGCGCATGCGGGGGAAAGCTTACCCAAGGTGTCCATCTACAGTTTTGAGTTTTTCGAGACCCTCGGTGAAGTGGGAACGGTTGTTGATAAAGGCATCCGATGCAGTAAAAGAGGTGTACTGAATGATTCTGGTTCCGGTAGACATTTCTAAAAGTGAGTAGGTTGAGATTGAACTTGAACTTGGAAGGGGTCTGAACAGATTATTTAAAACTGTTGCTGGATGATTTTCAAGTTTTGATGTTGGCCTTTATACTTTCAGCTATGGTCCCAGGTAGCTATAGCTAGGTGTATTACTGCTAGGAGATCAAGGGCCAGAATGAGAGGAGGGAGTGAGCGGTAAAATTCTATTACACCGATGGTGGTCGGATTGCATGCAATAAATTGGTAGTTTGCTTCATACAGCTTGGTGTGGGATGAGATTTGTTGGTAGATGAAGGATGTTGAGATGAGTACTGCCTCGTATTCGTGTTCCCGTAACGCTGTTGATTGAGCCTATAATTGCGCATCAATGGAGCAGAACTGAGATGAGTTAAGTTGAAGATGATTAACCATTTGAAGGTGATTGAGTATCCAGTGAGTATCTACCATAGTAACGTCAGATTACAACACCGCCCATCGACCCCTGGCAGCCGACCAAAAAAGTAAAACAGCGATTTCAGCCCAGATTTTAAATGCTTGGGGTAATGTCTATCTCTGAGTATCCAGTGCCCGAAGCCAGGGAGATTGCGCTTCCGAAGTTCGTCGGCCCAGTTCAGGAAATCACGCAATCTTGCAAACATAGCGAGACCCGCGCTGTTAGCGGACAATACGGCGTCAAATTCTTCACAACCGACAGGGGATAACAGTGGACGGCTGTTTTTGTCGAGATCAGATTGTAGCGGGTTCGATGTTTATGACCTGGATCTCAGTATTGAGGAGGCACGAATAACATATCCTACTAGACCTCTCAACCCTTGTATGAACGGAGACTGGGATGATTGACGTCCACAAATTATCTCTACATTTTGAAGTAGGTACAGTGGGAAATCGTAGTCGTCGTGGGACGTGTCGGCACTCGCAATATTATCGAAAGATGATTCAAGGCTGGATTCGAAAAGACCTGCGCCACTGAGAGTTGATTAGCAGTATTAATTTAGACACGTACACTCTTGGGTACTAGAGCCAAATTTTAACATATAATAAAGTCCATTTATCCTCTAACTCTAAGTCTGTAAATCGTCATAATGCTGGTCTATTCTTTATGAATTTCGAGAGCGGGCGGTGCCCCGAGAGCTAGAGAAAAGTATGATCAGCAAAAGTTGACGCGATATGTCTGTAAGAAAAACAGACCATGTTTGATACCATCATACATCAAGAACTGTGGTGATACCATAAGTAACCGTGTAATCTGTACTAGCGCTTCATCGATATGACTTACCTGCGAAGATACTAGTCCTGCAGTCATTATCATTCTTGGTCCTAAGCCAGCGAACAATCCCTAAACATTCAATGAGCATCGCACGTGTCGTTGTATAATCGATGGGTACCTTGACTCCTGCCTCCTTCGCTAGTGTAGTGAGGCGATAGATCATCGATCCAGTCGGACCATGTCCTTTGTTGATTTGACTGAGTAAGGTATCGGCGGGCTAAATATGAAATGTTATGAGAAGAGGGACAGGCTAAGAAATCCCCGAAGGACCTACATGGCTCAAAATCGCAGCAGCAAAGCCAGCGATAACTCCGCTTCCCAAGGAAATGCCGAATTTGGACAAATCGGACATGGATTTCTTGGTCTCTTCCGACATGTTACGCAAGGCGAGCTCATGACAAAATTCGTTCACTGTGAACTGCCCGATGGCGTAAGGAATTTGTCTGCGGTGTATGCAGGTAAGTTCTGGGAACAGAATAGATCCTGCGGTCACTCACTTGCAAAGAATGGGCAAGAAGCCTGCATAGAGTTGAGAGACTCCTCCCTCAGAGGCCAGTCGGGTGAATCCTGACACGAGACCTGTCGCATAACCGCGTTCCGACACCAATCTGATTCTCGTAGCTTCAAGAGGCGTAAGAAGGATATCTGCAAAAAACCTGAAAGTACGGTTGAATAGATCCTTGAGGCTATGATGAACCGACCCACTCTGCAACACTTGCAGCACCGAGGTATATAGCCGTTCTATATTTGACCGCTGTATCTTGGTCTCCTACAAAAGTCGCAAAAGATTTCTTCCAGTACTCGTAACCAGCGAACTTTGCGCCTCCTTGTGCGAGATACCCGACAGCAGTAGGACCGAACCCGGTGAGTAGGGCTGAAGGGCCTTCATTGGCGATTAGATATCTGGTCCCTGACACAAACCCAAACGGCTTGTATTTTGGGTCAATTTGAATGCGCGTCTTGACGACATCAATCGCTGTATATGTGAACAGTTACAAAGTGTGGCGCGCGAAGAGATAAGCTACGCACGAGTCATTGCGCCATGACTTATTCTGCCATTTCAAGAGGTGAGTTGTGTGATTGCTAAGTTACAGATCGAACATACGTGCAACACAAGGCACCTAGCACCCAACTTTGAGTGAATGCGGCGAGTTGAACAACACAGATACCACTCACCAGCAAGAAAGAAAGAGCTGTAGTCCTTTGTTGTGAACTGCGGGATGACAAAGGGATGTGCTGTATCTGACATGGAAAGATTAAGAGACGGAGATTGGTTTGCTTAAAATTTAAATACCTTGGGCTTTATTGACGTAGGTGAAGGCGGGGACGTCATTGACCGTGGGACTCGGAGCCTGGTGAATTTTCGAGCTTACATATACTGTACATATCTAATTATGGATTGCCTCAAATTTTTTCGCCATTCTCTGGGTCATGGAGTCTGAGAATGAGGGTATTCGGGCAAGATCTGGTCGACAGTCAGTGAAATTCGAGATTTGAGCGGAAAGCTGCGGAAAGATCAATGACTCTAGGAGAAGCTATGTAGCATTAATATTAATATAGAAACCCTAGAAGCGATGGAGGAAAGGAAATGGCGAGGTGGGTATGGTAGATTAGGGGAGGAAGGACAGAGAATGCAAGGTATGTGTTTTGCTTCAAAATGTGTACAGTACTGTACAATATTGAAAAGGCGGGCACTGCATCACAACTTGAAACAGAAATTTGGATAGATTCCGAAAATTGATACTCGGCACGGCTCTGTCCAAAAAAGCGGGCTGGAAGCGGAGTCCCACATCGGAATAGCTGGTTACGGTAAGTCAACAACAGCGGGCTCAGCCCGCACAGAGGGAAGGTAGACTGCTGCAGACGTACCGCATACGAGTACGGGTAAGAGTTAGAGTGAAACGAGTAAGAGTACGACTACCGGACTCCTACTAACCTTTGTAAAGAGAACAAATGTCATACATTGACGTACGGGAGAAATATAATGATAGCAGTCTCTATGAAGAGCGACGAGCATGTGCCGGAGGAAAAGGAGTTGCACCCGTTCCAGCATGGATAACCGGTGATTGTCGGTGTCAATAGCGATTTCGCAGCCGTAGTAAGGATACGACGCGACGACGATTGATAACGGAGGTCGGAAATTCACGATTTTCCCCCGAGTATGCGTGATTGACCGGGGACCAACCTTATGCGCGGTCATTTGCATAACATGAATTATACTTGAGGGAGTCAGCAATTCGCACATACTGTCGTCGGGAAATGTGTCAGAGCTGGGCGCATGTCCAAAAACACTCTGAAAATATGCGCTTTGACATTTCCTTATTCAGAATTGGGTTCATAGCTTCTTCATAAGGCAGGATATAAAATAATTGAGGCCACAGCGAAACTACATAAGAGGTACAAGGCATTCGATATATTATGATATGATTCCACGGCATGAGTGAAGCATCACGCTTTTCCAGTCTCATCCCTAATCCCACCCTCCGCAAAGCTCAAGATACCCGCAATATCCAATTTCTGCACCACATCCTCCGCTTCCGCAACATCCATGTCACCCAACACCTTATTGACGCCCTCCAGACTGCCTTCCTGCAAGGCCTTCTGAAGATGTTCCGGGAAAGAAGTGAACACGTCCCAACGGAGCTGCAGCGCTTTTTTCACTTCCTCGATATCCATATCTTCCGTTCCGGGACCTTCCAGGACAAGCTTTTCCGGGGGAGGACCTTCCGGAACATTAAAGCCGATAGTCTGGTCTGGTGATTCGGGGACGAGCTGGATTTGTTCCTTTCCTGCGAGCTCCTCTTGTTTCGATGCTTCGACTCGTCCGCGAAGATGATTATATGTGCTTTCAACATCGTCCAAGAAAACCTTTTCGGCGCGTTTATCGCCTGAGATCATCCTGGAAACACGATGAGTAAAGGATGAAACGCAACTTGAAGAAAATGATTGCACGAACTTTTGGAAGAACACGCGAACACCATCCCCACCGAGCTTTTCGCAATATTGGAGGAGCAGACTTTGATGGACGCATTGCTTCGCGAGCTTCTTCTTCCCTTCGCCCTCAGCTGTGAACGCGGCGACAAGTAAAGCGTCTGAGGCACCTTGAACGATAACATCGCGATGTTTCTGGATGAATTCGAACGACTTTTCGAACCCCCGGTATGGGATTTTGGAGAACTCTGCGAGAGTGGGAGTTAGCTCAGGAAGAGCATCATCATCTTCGGTCAGAACGCTGGATGAAGGTAGTTTGGAGCCAGACGCTTCCGGGTTGAGCGTTTCGAACTCGACCGTGGTGGAAGTAGTGGTTTTTGGTTTTTCGATCTTCTTGAGAGGTACTGGGGCAGGCTCCGGTTTGGGAGGTATGTACTAGAAAGGGAGTTTGAGACTGCAGAAAAATGATAGCTCCACGTAGTATATACCTTGCTTGAAAATCCATCATGCAGATCGTCACTAGTGATGTGTTTTTTCTGTTCCTTCAACTCAGCTGCGAGCTCTGCTTCGTCTTTCTGAATCGTATTTCCAAGTTGATCGACATGAAACTTCATCCCATCTACAAGCGCCTTCGTCAACTTCTCGTCCTTCTCACTTTCCAGTACCGAAGCGTCTTTGATCTTGTCTTTCGCCTGAGTACTGACCTGCTGTAGAAGCGACAACAGCATCCCATCGTATGTGTGCTCGAGCTTGTTGGGATCGTTCCCGGGAGGACAATCTTTAGACGGGTTCTTCCCCAGTTGCTCATACAATGAGTTGAAGTACACAGTAGGCGAAGTAGACTCGGAAGTAGAGGAAAGACGGGTGTAGATGTCCTGGATACGAGGGTAAAGCACTTTGTTGCAAGCAATCTGGGCCTGGAGATGTGCAATCTTTTGTTTTCGCTGCTCTCGCTTTTCATGTATGTCTTGTTGTTTCCAGCTGAACAGGGATTGTTAGAGTGTTGGAGGATGAAAGAGAGTAGCTGAAAGCTGTACCGAATCAAAGATTTCTTGTCGACATTGGGATGGCCTTCGATATCAGAATCATCTGAAAGCTAGGAATAGGGTCGTCAGCTCAAACCTTTGCTTCAAAGGATTGTTAGACTCACTTCGAGCTGGTCCCACTTGGAATAATTCAGTGGCATCTTGGAATTTGTAGAAGAAGGAAGTGTTCCAAGCAGTCGGCTCCGATCGGCCCGTTATCACAGTGAAAGATGAGCCTAGAACGTTCTAACTTCTTTACAGCTTTTACATTTGTGCGCTTCTAATGATACTATGAATATTATGCAAGTTCTACTCTTACTTTGAACGTACATGGATTTTTTTTCAGCGACTGAAATTCCGAATTCATGTACGGTCTGCGTCTAAATCTACTTCTGCGTGGTGCTTGGAATACTTTGTATGACTTATTCCGCCTTATCTTCGGAGACGGCCGGACTAGTTGACAAATATAGGCAAGCGGCTATATTTGGGCTATATACAGATAGACGGACACAGAAGTCCACCTGGCTTACGTCAGGTGGCCATGGACCGGCCTCTCATCAGAGCTGTGCGGCAGGCACTCTGATATTGGCTTAATGGGGAGGGTGCCCCCCAGATCCATCACCCACACCAAAAAACACCTACACATATGCCGTGGTCCCCGATGCTATGCCGATGTTGCAAATCGGATCGGGTAACCATGTGGACGGCACCACATGGCATACTCCACCCCGTGAATAGGGAGTCATGATCTATCATTGCAAAGTAGAACCGGCGGGTTAGGGCAGCGGTTAAGCCCTCTGATGAGCCCCTTCGCAAGGGCGAAACCCGCACAAAGTCCCTACCTTTCGGGTTCGAACCCCAAAGCTGCCTAATATGATAGAAATTCGTTGTCAAACAAAGTGCGTCATGTACAAACATTTAACAAATTGAATTTTGGTTCTTTCCCCTACATACACTGGATTCCAAATTTCTACGTGCTGCGACACAACGTGTAGGAGCGCTCTTTGCCCTACATCGATGACCAACGGATCTTCCTCGTCCTTCGTTTATCCCATAAAATCGCTGTTGGGAAATATTCAACCAGCTTCGGATGACCATAACTCTTTACCATTCCACCCAACTGCCCGGAATGTTACTACGGATATTGGTTCTAAAACACCTTTATGTGCGTTTCCTGCTCAGTTTTCTATCTTCAAACTCACTCTATATCGATCAGCTGGAACACAAACGAGCAACGTTATAGTGTCTGTTACTTCCTCTCCCAGCCACGATAGACATTTATCTCATACCACAACTAGTACAGGATCCAAGAAGCGACGAACTAAGCGCTCCAAACAGGCCATAGCAACATATGATGATCTTGTGGATTCTCAAGAACAATCAAAGCAGGCAAAAAGACATTCGGACAACGTTCCAAATTTCAGCCATTTTCCCGCGGGAGAAGATGTTAGTATAGAAACATCGTCTCCTCGCTTTTACACATCCACAGTATCATCGTCGTCGTCGCCAAGTCTCTCTCCATCAAGCTCACCTCTTATTTCCTCGACTATTCCAAAAGATGGAGAACCCTATCCTCTTCCTATTTCCCAGGAGTATAATCCCAGACATCCTCCTGCACTTCCTATCATCGCTCAACAGGCATTCACGAGCATGAGCGACTCTTTGCTTCCGAACGTCACGACAACTGGTCCACAATTGAATCCGTCTGAACGTGGAATAGTGCATTTATCTCCGATCCCTTCATCATCAAACGGAAACTCCACGAAAAGGTTTGATCGGTCTAGTACAAAGCCCATATCACGCCAATACGGTTCGAACTCTTCGGGGTCAAGTAGTAATGCATCATCCAGCCTCTCCAACTACTACACTCCTGAGGAAATTTCTTCAGGAGATGACTCCCAATTCTCATCCCAGAAATCAGGATCGACAAGTTCTTCGAGTAGAAATGGAGGACTTTCGCGTTCTGATGATGTTTCTGTATATTCCCAAGCCTCTGAACCACGCGTTTCTGTGCGATTCCAGCATATACAAGATGCACATGGGCATCATATAGTCACAGGGCGCGAAGGGAAACTGACCCGATGTGAGGATGAGGTGTGTTAAGGTTTTTACACCACGTTCGTCTAATCTAACACGCATTGACTAGCCTATCCGTGCCCCTGGCGCTGTCCAAGGTTTTGGTGTGCTTATTGTTTTGGAAGAGGAGGGAGAGGCTTTAGTTGTGCGTCAGGTTTCGGAGGTATGGATTGCTTTTCCTCGCGGCGCGATCAATGTCTAATTCAAAACTCGATAGAACGCTTCAGAACTTCTCGGTCTTCCTCCTCGTTATCTTTTCAAGCTAGAGTGCTTTACCGATGTCCTTCCTGAATCCCAAGCTTCTTTACTTTGGGACAATATTCAGTTTTTATCCGAGTCTGCCAATTCTACAAATACCACTAGAGATGAAGAGCTAGAACGAGATTCACCTGATATATTCTTGCTGTCTGGATATGGGGCTCCAGGGACCGCAATTTCAAGTCTCCCGGTGTCTGTTGATCCCTACGACCCGTGGGGTGTTCATGTAGGAAAGCGACGCTGGACGTGCTGGTGTGCTATTCACCGCCCACAACCTAGTCCATATCTTTCCAACACTCAATCGAAAGCACAAAAGCCGCTAATTGTCATGGAATTTGAATTAGAGAGTGATTTCTTCAACCCGTTATATCCGCGATCTTCATCCAACCCAGCATCAACCACATCCGCGCCTTCGGGGTCTGATTCTCCAGACAGTATAAAAACACACTCCTCAGGAAGTGATGGCACAAGTAGTAGTGGGGCACAGACAGGAAGTTCTGAATCAGAAATTACTGTGGTTCCCAACTCTTCTTCTACTGCCGCTCGCTCTGCTGAAGATTCAAATTTCACCACAAGTATCGCAACGTCAAGCAACAGTTCCGGAGTCACTACTGTCACAAATACCTCTACCTTACCACAATCTCCTCTTGAGGAAACCGATCCACTTGGACCTCTACAACCTCGTTCTGGTCATCCTCCTGTACATGGTTTAGTTGGCGACTATAGTTGGACCCCGAACACAGAAGATATCATAGAGAGTACCACGACGCGATCGAAGCCCCTTCTAGCTCTAGAAAGATTGCGGCGACTGTCGCAAATGCCTGGTGCATCAGATAACACCTTGCCCAATACTTCATCTTGCTCCACTCCTGGATTCAATGCGAAGACTCGTCGACCGCTTCGCCCGAGTCGTGATGCTAATGGTAAAATACAAAGAGTTGCCCCGGGTGCTCCCAATGGGGGCGTGAGCATGATGGATGTTTTCGCTGTAATGGCCCAGATTAATGAACAGCTAGGGGATGCCCCGGACCTTGATACTTTCTTGAAGGTGACTGTCGGTGTCATCAAGGATTTGACACAATTCCACCGTGTCTTAGTATATCAATTTGACGAGGTGTGGAATGGGCAGGTTGTAGCGGAGCTTGTAGATTGGAGTATGACGCACGATTTGTACAAGGGGTTGCATTTTCCTGCTGGTGATATACCGGCTCAGGTACGTGTTTTGGATGGTATCCGAGTTCGCAAGCTAATTGGATTGGTCTTGGACAGGCGAGAGAGCTGTACAAGATTAGTGAGTGACTGTCCTTCACTTCATCCTTTCTTGATTGCTTATCGCTATCTTCTAGACAAAGTCCGCATTCTTTACGACCGTGATCAGCCGACAGCCCGTATCGTCGTTCGTGACAAAGAAGATTTGGAGCAACCTTTGAACATGACCCATTGCTATCTGCGTGCCATGAGCCCTTTACATGTTAAATGCCAGTACGGTATATATCCTCTTTGCTTATGGTTCTAATATCTATCTAAATACAGACCTCGGCAATATGGGTGTTAGAGCTTCGATGTCGGTGGTAAGAGCTTTCTTTCCTCGGGATTGAATACTCCATGCATTTTCAGTTGATCATATCTTCTTCTATCAGTCAATAATGGCTTTTGGCTCCCTTTGGGGCTTGGTAGCCTGTCACTCGTATGGTACGCATGGCATGCGCGTTTCTTTTCCGGTCCGACAGATGTTACGGCTTCTCAGCCAGTCTATATCTCGAAACATCGAGAGGTTAAGCTATGCGCAAAGGCTTCACACGCGAAAGCTGGTATGTTTCGTTACTCTCTCTGACAGAGCAATCTTGCTCATAAATTCAGATTAACACTATACCCTCCGAAAACCATCCGGTGCGGGGCATTCATCTGCATGTTCTATCTATAGCTAACAGCTATGGTAGACTGGATATATCGTATCTAACGCGGACGACCTACTTGGCTTATTCGACGCTGACTATGGCATCCTGGTCATTGGTGACGGAGCGAAGATCCTCGGACCTAATCAACATGGTCAAGAAATTCTTATCATGGCCGAGTATCTTCGGTTGAAGCAATTCGAGTATGTTTCTATACTCTGTGAGTATTGGTGGAATATCGAGCAGCTCACAACGTTTTACAGCACCATTCAAGTTTCGCAAGCCGTCACGAAAGATTTTCCTGACCTCAATCTTTCCACGGGTCTCGAAGTAATCGCAGGTTTACTTTGTGTTCCTCTCTCCAGTGGAGGAAAGGACTTCATTGCTTTTCTACGCAAGGGCCAACCGCGCGATGTCCATTGGGCAGGAAAACCATATAAGGCTGACAATAGCGCAACTGCTTCACTCGAACCACGCAAGTCTTTTAGAATTTGGTCTGAGACTGTGGCTGGAAGATGCAGAGCGTGGACAGATGAGCAACTTGAAACAGCTGGAGTGTTAGCTTTGGTGTACGGGAAGGTATTATCATGAGATTCGGCTGACATTGCTATCAGTGCTAATCAATTACGTTCAAACAGTTCATCGAAGTTTGGCGGCAAAAAGAAAGTGCTTTGCAGACAACGAAATTGACGAATTTGTTGTTATCAAATGCTAGCCATGAAGGTAACTAGTCTTCCTACGTCAAACATGATCATTGCTCAACTGTTTCTTCAGTTCGGACACCATTAAACCATATAATCAAGTAGGAAAGGAAATATTAGAATTTATTCAGAAATCACTGACGGTTTTTACTATCGCATAGCTATCTGGAAATGGCCCTCAATGGACCTCTCGACTTCGAGACTCGTGACAATCTCAGTCGTTCGCATGCAGCATCCAAGGTACGGTAGCTTATCCGTGCAACGATTGTATGATCGTTCTCTCACCAAACAATACAATCGGCAGAACCTTCTCTTTACCATCAACGATCTCTTGGTGATTCCCCAATTTTATCCGGTCAATGTAGCATTCCTAACTAGATATCCAGGACCTCACCCGTCTAGAGAGCGGTAACGAAATGTCTAATAACGAGCCATTTAATCTTGCGGAAAACATACAAGATGCTATTTCCATCTATAGGAGCGAAGCGAATCGGCGCCACATCAACTTCGAGGTGGACGTGGATCAATGTCCTAGTTTTGTTATTGGAGATCGCAAGAAAATCCGAACTGTTGTCCAAAATCTAACGGCTAACGCTTGTATGTTTAGTCTTACTCTTCCTCATCGCCGCTCAGTCTATTTTTGTAGTGAAATACACCATGGAAGGTAAAATAGCTGTACGCTGTGTACCTTTTGGGGAACCCGAGGGTCTACGTGAACCGACGTCCACTGCAATGGAAATTGTGGTAGCTGACACTGGATGCGGTATACCTCCTACCAAACTCGAAAGTATATTCCGCGAAATAGAGCAGGTTGAGTCATCTGAGCCTAAGACCAGCGCAGAACCAGGCGTAGGACTCGGACTTGCAGTCGTTGCCAGGATCGTAGAACAGTTGGGAGGTCAGCTCCGCGTGGAATCAAAGGTTGGGGAAGGAAGCCAATTCTCTTTCCTCCTTCCGTTATCGTTAATGGTCCCATCAGAGACCTCTACCTCGCCCGCTCACAGTCGCAGTAATTCATCCTTGGGGTCTTTGCAGGCCAAATCGACCAGCGAGGTTGACTTCATTGTCGAGGCACTGGCCAATTCTTCGCAACGATCGTCGTCCGCTCACTCCATTGACGAATCCCGACCCCCCCGTAAAACAACAACAGGATTATTCCCTGTTGCTGACTCTCAGTACCCTGTCCGCCCAATCAAAGTCCCCGAAATAGATACACAAACGCCTTTGACGCATCAGACCTCCCAACCGAGCCCAAAGTCATCAAATCCAGCTATCCAGCCTCCATTGAATTCAACCTCCGAGACGAAACCAATCGAGTACAAATCCCTTCCACTGCTTACTTCGAAGGCAGAAAAACTAAGTCTTAGAGTATTGATTGTTGAAGTACGACTCTCTTCCTTTCTGTTTTGTTCCATTTTTAGACTCATTCTCTGTACAAAGGATAACGATATTAATCGACTCTTGCTGGCCAAGCGACTGCGCATGGACGGTCATGTTGTAGTCAATACTACGAATGGCCAAGAAGGACTTGATAAAGTTATGTCTGACCGCAACTTTGACTGCGTCCTTATGGACATCAATATGCCGATCTTGAATGGCCTCGAGGCCTCAGAAAGAATTCGTGAATTCGAAAAGGCGTTTCCCTCGTCCGATGTTCAGCGACTCTCTCTGAAGTTGAATGGTCGTATACCAATTTTCGCTGTTTCGGCCTCTCTGTACGAGCATCAAAGGTCCAAGCTTTCCGATGCGGGTATGGATGGATGGATTTTGAAGCCGATTGACTTCAAACGACTTGCTACTATTCTTAAAGGTGTAACGGATCTTGCACAACGAGAACGAGATCGTTATACCCCCGGTGGTAATTGGGAGGTTGGAGGTTGGCTGGCTATGTCACCCACGCCATCAGATGCACCCATTGAGGGCATACCGAGACCAGCATGAATTCTCGTTCCCCCTTCAGGCTTTCCTTCTGCGTGTTTTATTATTCATCATCGTACATCCTATCCAACTGTGCTTCATCCTTGTAGGGTTCTATTCACCACTATCAATGTTTCTGCAATCATATTACGAGTAATCAGAGGCTTGTCGGATACGGACAAATTATTTCACGAGGCCTATGTACTTATATGAACCTTGTAAGGGGAAATAGAAGGAAAACTCTGTATAAGTCGGAATGATATTGAATCCTACGCTTCGACTCTATTAACCTCGTCCAACATATGGGACGTTGGTGGGCCTGCATGGTCAAGTATCAGATAAAATACCGAATCGAAAGAGATCTTACATGATGTTGACGTGGAGAACAGTAACATCAGGCGGAAGACTGGCTATATGCACGATCGTGCTGGCGACATGTTGGACATTAAGCACGCCTTCTTGAATTATGCGTCCGTCTGGCTGTAATGCACCTAATCCATGCCGTCCTCCCATATCTGTAGCCGCATTTCCTATGTGCAATCGATATCGGATCAGCCGCTGAGAATTTTGACAGATTCCCTACCTATATCGATTTGGGTACAGGCAATGTTAAATGCGCGTCCGTCGAGAGAAGTACACTTGGTGAGACCGTTCATCGCATGCTTTGACATCGTATATGCATAAGAGTGCGGACGCGGTACATGGGCTGACAAGGAACCATTATTGATGATGCGACCTCGATGCCTAGTATGTCATTAATTACGACGTCTGCAGAGACAACGGGCTTACCTCCAGGGGGAGTTTGAGCTTTAAATTTTTTGACTGCTTCCCGAGTGCAGATAAAAGGCGCTACCAAGTTGATGTTCAGAACATTTTGGAACGTGTCGAAGGAGACATCTTCAATTGGAACCTGGGCGGACGATATTCCAGCATTCTGGTCAAGGAAGTGAGCGCACTTTGACCATTTATAGGTTACAAGCAAATCATACATTGAACAAAAGATCCAGTCGCCCTGCATTATTGACGTTGTGAGCCGACGAATAAGAGATATAAGAACACTCACCAAATTTAGCAATTGCCTGCTCGAAGAGATTTATCGCAAAGGTTTCATCGGTAATATCACCAGCCACGCAAAGACAGCTTTCAGCATTTGAAGACATTTCCTGTGTTTCTTGAAGGGCCTCTAATCTCCGAGCAGTGACAACAACGTTCCATCCCTCATTCAGGAGGGCAATAGCAGTGTATCGTCCAATGCCTGACAATGTCATGAGATATCTCTTGAACTTGCATTTGCAAGAGCTATTACCTGAAGAGGCACCAGTGACGATGGCAGTCTTTTGAACACCACTCATGAATGTTGTGATAAGACAAAAGCAGTGAAAATTGGGGTTGGAATGTATCTGTCTGTAATCACGGACCGAGATCGAAGGTCTGATAACTTGAAAGTTCCATAAATAGCGGTAATCATCTGTGCCATTCTAATACAATCGACCACGCTCCCTCCACTCTCATTTGTTCTACGTTGCACCCAAGCCGTACAGGTTTATGGTAACCCTTTCATTGTTACTGCATACAGATTATCTCAGCATGTTCGTGAATGTCTCCGCTCCAAAGGAATTGCCTTTGAAAGTCCTAGCCTTGTGAAAGGGCTGGCCAAGTAATCACCCTGAAAATCTCCTTGACCATCTCGACAATTCTTTCTAGCACTTCAAGTTACTCATGAACCATAGTTATCATTAGGATGAGAGAAATTCGGAGAATTGGTCTCGACAAACATGGCCAAGAACACGATTTGAGACATGACGAGATGCAAGCTCGTCCTCGATCTAGTAAGAAGGTCGTCGCTAAACGATACACTGCGTGCAAATTCTGATAAGTTCACGTGGCTTAGCCTAAACTTATTGGAAACTGCCGAAATGTGGCAGACTGATAAGATATTGACCTTATTGGACATCAAATGAGAAACTTATGTGACAGGGTGTCACGTATGAGCTCTATAATGGGACATAACTTTATCAAAACTTAGGGGATATTAATTGATCAATTATTTGAAACTTATGTGACTATATGTCACAAAAGGTTCGAATAATGAAGATAACAAAAGGAAAACTTATTAGATACACTGGGAATAGTATTTGGTCAATAATGATTATATAAGATACATGAACTTATAGGATAATTCCAGGAAATTTTCAAGACAAAAGGAGTTATTCAAGTATTGAAAAGGATATAGGAACTATAGAATACTTATAGAATACTAAGTGAATACTTATTAGATACAAGTTGAAAATAGATTGGACATAACATAGGAGACTTATGTGACACTGTAACACAAAGATCATATATAAGATTTGTAACTTATGAGAGATTCATAGGAATTGGAAAGGAATTGGGATCAAATATACATGGGAAATATTCTTGATAAGAGAATGTATGTAGTAAAAGCTTATGAGAATAAAAAGGGAAACTTATGAGATGCAACAAAAAGATAAGGGTAAAAGAAACAATAACAATGTAAACAAAGAAAGTAAAAACTTATGTGATCCAAATGATATGCATGATACAGTCAGTAAGTGTGGCATCTTCTGCACTTGGCTAGTCCTGAAATTTTGTATATTTGTATTGTAAAAATTGGTCCAGATATGTCAAGCATGATGGAGGGTTGTGAAGCCTGGTTAAGTGTTCCAAAAGTAGGTTTCACACCCCTTGGTTAGGCTTCACACATTCCTGTATAAGGTTTCGGGACATGTGAGCAGGCTTCACACATTCCTGTACTATGTTTCGGAATACTTGAGCAGGTGTCACACCCCTTGGTCATGCTTCACACATTCCTGTACCATGTTTCGGAACACTTGAGCAGGTGTCACACCCCTTGGTCAGGCTTCACACATTCCTGTATAATGTTTCGGAACATGTGAGCAGGCTTCACACCCCTTGGTCATGCTTCACACATTCCTATACCATGTTTCGGAACACTTGAGCAGGTGTCACACCCCTTGGTCATGCTTTGACAAGACCGTGCCTACAGGTCAATAACTATAGAGGTTCTGAGGCCGGATCTGGCCCGGGAATGGCCCGGGATAATTCCGAGGTCCGGAACTGAGTATTGGCCTGTAGTACACACTGGGAGTGGGACGTTGGTGAAGCTATTAGCAACACCCTTCACACACTGTTGGTGTCCCTGGGAATTATGGCAAGAGTGCAAGATTGGGATGAGCAGCCTAAATGGGGTTCCTGATGATCCGGGAGTCCGGAAGCAAAGGGTAAAGAAGATATTAAAGACTGGGATAGGATGGTACACTTGATTTCAAGCTTGACTACAACGTACAAAGTATTCTAGCTTATATACATCCCAAATACAGTAGTCATAAGACCTCGATGAAAGCTCAGAATAATAAATAAGTCACAAGGTAATTATTCCGAAGTCCGGCCGCTCCGGGCCGGGCCGGGAAGCGTATGGGGTGAATTGCATGCATATGACAGTATCCCCCCGTTAGGCCTGAGCCCACGAAGGCCTCTGTGAATATGTGTGCAGTGAAATAGTAAAGTATAGTAAAGCAAAGGGATTGGATTAGATCCAGTAGTGAAGAATAAATTAAAAGTGGAAGTCTTGGAGAAATTGGAAAGGATCGGCCTGCCGATGTAGGGGGTCAAAGAAACATAATAAAGCAAACAAAAACCAGATTGAAACAAAGTAAACTCGTAACAAAATAATCAACAAAAGAATGGATGACCACGTAACTTCCGAAGTCCGGGCCAGCCGGAAAGTGTTCTGAAGTCTTGAAAGACTAAAACAAGTTCCGAAATTCGGAAAAATCAGGAGCGGCCGGTCCGAAAATTGGAATACAGAACTGGAATACAGCAGTATCCCCCAAGTACGCTTGAGCCCTCGAAAGCCATGAATCAAGAGCCGAAGTTGGAGTAAATGGTGATGTAGGAGGATAGGGTAATGGAGTAGGGAAAATTTCGGAATAAAATCCGAGCCGAGGGGCGGGATTGGGCCGGAAAAATCGTCGGAAACTGCGGAAAAGTCCGGCATACCAATCAACACAAAGTGCTGCCAGAAATGATAACCTGAGCTGATATCCACACAAGAGCGATGCCTAAAAAGGCCGAAATTGACACAAAGTGTCCAGAATGATGGTAGAACCATCCCGAGACCGGAAGTTCCAAGGGAAGCAAAGCCGGAAAGCGCTATAAGGATAATCATAAAAAATGAGTTGGAAAAGAGTGTTTCAGTCTACCCGGCAGATCAACGGATCTAAGTGGGAGTAGAAACTGTATCCTAACAAATAATCAATGAAATCCTACTAAAACAGAGGAGCAGCTTGTGGGTGAAGCAAGGAATCAACATAAATAGAAATGATAACAGATAAGTGAATGGAAGTGCTAATGAGCAAGCTTGAGATAATGTCAATAAAATGACGGAAAAATCGGAGCAAGGTCGGAAACATGGAATGGAACAGTTAGTAATCAATAATAAGCAAAAACATCGGCATAATCGGGCCGGAATGAAGCAATAATAGTCGTTACAATGAAACATTACCTGAATATTCAAAAACTCGAAACAGGAGTGGAACATATGGAAAAAAAAAGCGGTCCGAAGCTTAGAAACAAAGTAATTTATAGTGTCAACAAAAATTGATCATGGAAAGGTGCAAAATCTCGGGCCGAAATTTCGGAAAAAGCGGAAATGCATTCTAGCATAAAAAATGAATATTTGGAATAGTAATGGCAAAAAATCGGGCCGAAATTCGGAAATGAAGTAAATCATAATGTCAAACAATCAATAATCATGAAAGGCATAAAAATCGGGCCGAAGTTCGGAAAGAAAGGAATTTGTAAGGTCAAATAAGTGAAAATCATGAAAGGAAAGGAAAACTCGGTCTAAGACTCGGAAATGGTCGGAAAATTCGGAATTAAAATGTAGAAAAAATTAGGAATTACTCGGAACCATCATTGGAGCCCAGAACATCCGATTCAGAGTTATCTGCATCGTAGTTCTGTCCTGTACGGGCCTGCAGTTTGAGACAATCTACCTTCATATGTTCTCCTCCACAATAAAAGCACAACCCGAGCACCCTGCGCCTTTCCCTCTCAGAGTCCAAAAGCCTGCCATCGGGTGTGACACCTGCTCAAGTGTTCCGAAACATGGTACAGGAATGTGTGAAGCATGACCAAGGGGTGTGACACCTGCTCAAGTGTTCCGAAACATGGTATAGGAATGTATGTGTGAAGCATGACCAAGGGGTGTGAAGCCTGCTCACATGTTCCGAAACATTATACAGGAATGTGTGAAGCCTGACCAAGGGGTGTGACACCTGCTCAAGTGTTCCGAAACATGGTACAGGAATGTGTGAAGCATGACCAAGGGGTGTGACACCTGCTCAAGTATTCCGAAACATAGTACAGGAATGTGTGAAGCCTGCTCACATGTCCCGAAACCTTATACAGGAATGTGTGAAGCCTAACCAAGGGGTGTGAAACCTACTTTTGGAACACTTAACCAGGCTTCACAACCCTCCATCATGCTTGACATATCTGGACCAATTTTTACAATACAAATATACAAAATTTCAGGACTAGCCAAGTGCAGAAGATGCCACACTTACTGACTGTATCATGCATATCATTTGGATCACATAAGTTTTTACTTTCTTTGTTTACATTGTTATTGTTTCTTTTACCCTTATCTTTTTGTTGCATCTCATAAGTTTCCCTTTTTATTCTCATAAGCTTTTACTACATACATTCTCTTATCAAGAATATTTCCCATGTATATTTGATCCCAATTCCTTTCCAATTCCTATGAATCTCTCATAAGTTACAAATCTTATATATGATCTTTGTGTTACAGTGTCACATAAGTCTCCTATGTTATGTCCAATCTATTTTCAACTTGTATCTAATAAGTATTCACTTAGTATTCTATAAGTATTCTATAGTTCCTATATCCTTTTCAATACTTGAATAACTCCTTTTGTCTTGAAAATTTCCTGGAATTATCCTATAAGTTCATGTATCTTATATAATCATTATTGACCAAATACTATTCCCAGTGTATCTAATAAGTTTTCCTTTTGTTATCTTCATTATTCGAACCTTTTGTGACATATAGTCACATAAGTTTCAAATAATTGATCAATTAATATCTCCTAAGTTTTGATAAAGTTATGTCCCATTATAGAGCTCATACGTGACACCCTGTCACATAAGTTTCTCATTTGATGTCCAATAAGGTCAATATCTTATCAGTCTGCCACATTTCGGCAGTTTCCAATAAGTTTAGGCTAAGCCACGTGAACTTATCAGAATTTGCACGCAGTGATAATCGCTCTTACGTCTTTGCTCAGTTACGGCAAGTCCAAGTACTTTTGCTTTTGCCCGAGCATTGGGATCCTGTACAGATCCCTGACCTTTGCCTGAGCATCACGGAATCAGGGATCATAAGTGAGACAAATCAGCAAGTGGAAGAGATGGAAGAGATGGCAATCAGAGTATACATAATCTCGTAACAAACTTTATGTCCCATTGGTGGAACGCGCTGTTTTATCTTGTGAACAATGACACCATTTGCACCTTGGTAGCGTATTGATTCCAATTCTGGAAATGGGTCAGCGTCCTGGCATACTAGTGCCACCTACTCCATTCTGTCCTGCACAAAACGAATACCATGGGCAAGGATCATACTCAGGTCTAAATCTGGCACAAACTTCCTGTGAACGTAGTTGCCTATGTCTCCAGATAGCCACCATCTTGCTCGACCAGACATGGAGGAATTATATCTAAAGAAATAAGTCTGTGAATAGATTGATGTCAACAGTGCGGCGTAGCTTCCTCCGCCGCTTCACAGTGTACATCTCATGGCAGGTTGTTCTGAAGATCGTAATGGATACAATCACCAAACAGATGTGTTCAACGCTGAATCTGATTTTGGGTGGGGAAGCGGGCTAGATTAACAGTATACTATGCAATAATTGACATTTATAAGGGGTTGCACCCACCCAATTTCGGGGATGTTTACTGTACATCAGAGTGTGACCAGAGATCCTAAGGCCCGGCAGGATAAGTTAGGGCGAGGCAGAGCTCGCGAATGTTAAGTACCGTCGTTGGTAATGATAGTATCAAACAAGTCACGTACAAGAGTACGTCACGTGTCTATTTACTCACGCTGCGCCAAACTTGTCGGGCCTCTTAGGGCCTCTGCAAATCTCTTTGTCCCTTGAGCCTTGGCTACAAACAGTGACACTACCGCACAATCATACAAATACTATACCTTTAGGAGAGGCACTAAACGAAGTCAAATAACGAGGCTGACTCGACTGACAATGAATTGCTCCATACGGCTAGTTTCCAATCTTGGCACTCTGTTCGCATGCTGAATGTGTTTGACGAATGGTAGTCTGATGATCGTTATCTATGAATCGAAGCTGTCGAACCATTATACACATCTAGACACATCTCTGCATCTCTGACTTCGAAATCATGCCGGGCCGTGGTTTTTTAAAACACCCTTTTCCTTCGTTGTTTTCATTTGGGTGGCAACTTTGAACCACTGACTTTTACCACGTCTACATTCGATTTCTCCTCTAGGGCTACCTCTGGTGATTTTGTGACAGGATTAAACTCAGGTCAGGACAGCCGCACTTTGAAGTCTCGCGATGGATCACGATGAGTGGAATTTGTGGCGTTCGTCCCAGCCAGAAAAGCACCTGTACCCAATGTGCCCCCCATTTTTGCGGCCATATGCATGGCATGTGTCTGATGCTTCAGATTTTTCTTCGTGCTCAGGTGATGTCTTGTGACGACTTCGAAAGCTAAAAGCTTGCGGCTAAAATGAGAACATTGTAGAGCCCAGTCCAGACCAAGAACCGCCTCAAGAGAAGGTAGTTCGAAATAAAGGTAAGATGATTGAAGCCAGTATTCCATGCGTGGATGATGATATCCGTGCCATAGACCATCGAGCATGCGATAGATGTAGAGAACTACGCTACAAATGCGAAAAAGTAAGCGGGGAAGAGTGCTCCCTTTGTACGAAGTGCGCGAACAGTGGGCAAGGTGTGTATACCACGTTTTTCCAAATTTCCACTTGTTGCTTCTAAATTCATCATTGAAAGATTGCACGTATCTACGTCCTGTGGGTCGCCCAGGTCCCATACCAGGCGCAGTTAAACGGACACTCACCCTTAGAAACACCCCTTTCTCAAAGCGACGCGCCTTGTCCACCGCGAATTATAAGGAATTAATGAATAAACCAATATCTCTAGCTGATGAGTCGAAAGATGCGGCCCCAATAGACGCTGAGACTTGGAAAAAAACCGTTCAGCCTTCCGTCAACCCCACAGAGCCCTGCTCAGGCTTGCAATCTGAGAGTGGTTCAGGTCTTACCTTTTCTTGTTCAGAAGATGACACTTCGGGATCGTTAGGTCGGATCTTGAACCCAACCTGGTCATGCACTTCGACTGGTGGCTCAAAGTTATCGAGGACAGATGTTCAGCAAAATGTTCAAAGGTTGGAAGGTGATGTCAGGAAGAGTCATCGACCACTGTTATGGGTCCGAACGCGCTCTGATATGTTGGATTCGACGACAGCTCGGAACAAAAAGCATCTAGTAAGTTTTCCAAGATTTTTGTGTTAAACCATAATTTGACGCAAACTGCGATCTTCAGTTCGCAGATTAGATGAAATTCTGATGCACAAAATTTGATGATTCAAAACTTACTTCCTCGCTGTATGCGATATTACAAAATTAGTAACCGATTGCTGTGTTTATATTACCAGAACATTTCCCTTATATATAGTTGCACAGTCTATGAACGACCAGCAAAACCTGGTGGTTCGAACAAGAATCTCACAGTGCCTTCGTTCCGGCCGATAACTTCCCGCCCGACTGCACTGGCAGAGTCGGGATCTTGCCAAGATTCTCTGGGTCGAGGATCGTGATCAGATTCCCGCATAGCAATTTTGAGGCGAATGAGTTGGTCAGTATTAAAGGGATTTGTAGGATTGGATTGAATCGATGATAAATAAGCATTGCGGGGTGAAGGATGAGGAGACGGTGAAGAAGGCGTTGCAGGAGATGTATTTGCGGTTGTCTGAGCACGTTGAATGAGCAGATCAACCATGACGTGTGCGATTGCTGTAGATCAGAGGCATTTAGAGAGAGATAGCGAGGGAAACCATGATCTGCAGGTGTACCTTCTAGATCCTCCAAATGAGCTTGGAACTGTTGTTCCCAGTCTCCGCGTTGGCCCAACGATCCAGCGAGTTTGAGATTTTCTTGTCGCTCTTCTCCTTCAGGTTGTTCAAAAGATCCAAGGATTGCGGCAACATAGATACTTCCTAATGCCACAGTGTGAGGCGGATATTCAATTGGGATAAATGTTCGATGTCTAGAAACCGAAAGTGTGAACGATCGTTATGTACCCGAGCAGCTTGACTAACGAATCAATTGCCAGACGCCAGGCCAACTTGGTTAACTTTTTGCTCGCTACCAGAAGAAAGTTGAACAGAAAGTTCTCTGCCGTAAGAGCATATGCATACCTCCAAGAGCACGGCCCATTTTGATGACATACGAGAAGGGCATTCGAGATGTGAAGTTGAAACATATAGTTTCTAGGATCAAACGTTCCACGGCAAGCAACCGTTGTCGGTCATGTTCTACAAGCTAACCTGATTGAGAAGGAATTTGTTGTAAATGAAAAATGAACACACTTGCGGGTCCACCGTGTCGATGTCGACTTCCCCAAAAGGGCTTTTGGATTTCGAGAGAAGATCAGGAAATCTGATGGCATACGAAGCGGCAAGCAGTTCTCGAGGTTTTTTGAGTGTGTCGTGCATTTTGGTAGAGACATACAAGGCGGCGAGGGCGACATCCTGGATCATTGCTCAGTCGACGTCGGATATTTTACAAGGTTCGTACATGGAAATTGAAGTCTTTCCTAGGAAAGAAAAGATGGAAACGATGATAGAGACTCTGACCCGTCGCGATAGTTCTTCTTGGGCTTGATAGGTTGTTGTTAGAAGGAGAGACACAGAATGAGAATGATCACTCACAACCCAATCCGGGACCCAATAGCATCAATGAATCCACAAGCATTTTGACGAATCTTGTCTTCTTGTGTGACAGTCATCTTTCCTCTTTGCTTCTCTGACATAATCTCAACTTCCGCAGGCGTGAAGTATGAATGGTGGTATTTGATTGAAGATGCAGGCAGCTGCGAAGGGGAATAGGTACCTTCCATAACGCCTAGTGAATATGGGACGTCGAGGGAAGGAATACACGCATGATCACCTGACGGAAGCGAAAAGGGCGTTCTCAATTCTGGGTCTGAACTTTCTGAGTTCTCCTTGGTTGTCACTCTTTGGCCTGTTGTATCATCGCGCTCTATCGTTCAATTTGTCCTTCCTTATTCCTACCAGCCCACTTGGAAGACACACCCGGAATCAAGGCCGATTCGATAGCGCCACCAGTGATTCCCTCACTGCCTCTATCCATGGAACCAGTCGTTCCTCCAGAAATTACTGCAGAGTTGACCCAGATTCTGTCAAATCTCGTCTTGGGAGACAATGAAATACGTTCAAAGTGTGTAATATGTTCGATCCGTCCAAATATAATTCACTAATGGATATACAGTGCAGAAAAAGCTGTCAATGAGCGGCTTGCTCATGCGCCAGATTTATATCTTTTGGCCCTGGCGCAATTCTCTATTGCTGCCGACACTGAGGTGGTGAGCGATCATTGCTACTACTAGAGCTTGTTGGCTGCTTCCACTCGCACAAAATGTCGAGTGGCTACCTGGACCACTGATATCTTTGATCATCTCGGAGATTATATTTCGTAAATTTCTTAGTTTGGGCTAGTGCGCAAAGTTCGGCCTTGCAGTCCGCATTCACGTTTATTCTCGGTATTCTATGCATTATGTGCCCTAAGATTAACAATGCTTTTCTCTTCATTGCGATTTTACATAACATTTGAGATGATTCTGAATTTCCGTTTAGATGCGCTCTTTTTCCTTGGTCTTGCTCCGCCGTCTTCTTTTCCGTCCGGTCCCAACCCCAACTACACTCAGCAGCACAGACTCCGCTTCAAGCTCAACACCACAACCGGTACCCTCTTTCCATTCCTTGTCCGCCCCTCGACTTTCACTGTTTGATCATCTTACTACTTCTGCACTCACCAACCTTGAACGATTACTACTCCACTCACTCTCTCATGAACCTGCAGCTTCAGTTCGCAGAAAAACGGTCGACACAATATCAGATGTTGCTAATCAAGGCATGCTGCGAGGAAGACCATGGCATGCCCTCCAGGCACAAGTATTCTCTATGACACAAGCTACGAGTGCCACAAATGGCGTAGCGGGCGAAGGTCTCAGAGAAAGTGCTTACCGAGTGTTTGCGGGATGTCCGAATCTAGTTATGGATTTACAGACGGATGCAGTCCTAGGCGTGCTAGGGAAAGGCCTACGTGATGAACAAAGCATAGATGCATGTAGCCTCGCTTCAAATTGTGTTACATCTACTAACTTGCTGACCAGGTTCGATATGCTGCATTGCTCGCGTCGGTCGCCTATCTGTCGCATGCCGATTCACATCAACTTGCTCAATCCCTCTCGCTTATGTATCCTATTTTGGACACCCTTCCACCACTAGCTCATTCTATCAACCAGCCATCCGGCTCCGCTACTCTTACATCCACAGAGGATAAAACTCCAACGGCACACTTACAATCGTTCCTCGTTGCCTTAACTCCTTTGTGCTCTGCTCACCCGAACCTTTTCCATCCTCATCTCAGTGCCCTGTTGACTTTTCTTCCACCATTGTTGCTTGCCAATACCGACCCTGGACCAACCCCCACGGTTCGCGCGCCTTATCCTACAGGACTTGGTGGAGATGGTCAATCAGGTGCTCTTAATTTATGTTCTCTCCTTCCGGTCCAAAGTCTGAACAAGAGCTCATAGGTAGCTTCGCTACTCCCACAGGAAGTCCTTCAAGAGAATCACCCGTGACCGAAACAGAAGATGAGGAAGAGGGTCAATCTTTACGGCTCAGTGCATTGGAATTCATGTTATCCCTATGTGAGGCCCGGCCTAGTATGTTCAAAAAAAGTTCGTATCTATCAGTCTCCTCTTCGTACCTACCTCAACAATCTGTTTGTCCATATAGACTCTTCACCAACGTCGCCCACAGGCGTCAATGTTGGTCAAGGGTGGATAGCTGTTATGGTACGTGCTTGCCTGGAAGGAATGGCAGAGTTGGATGAGGAGAGCCCTTATGGTACTCCAGGTGGATTATCGCGGTGGCTTGCTGAAGATGTAAGCATTGGATATGGATATCATTTTTCTCAACACCTTTGAACATGTTTCGGTGCAGCCTACCACATCTAGTGCGGCAGAAAATGATTCTCCTCCAGCCCTGTACGAACAGAGCTTAGACAGACTAGCTTGTGCGATGGGTGGTAAAGTGATTCTTCCTCCTTCGTTCCAGGTAACGGATATTCTTGTTACAACGGGGTCCTCGAATTGACTGAACAAAAAGTACATCCCATCGATGATGGCAAATTATGATTGGCGTTCTCGACATGCCGGACTTATGGCGATTGCAGCGATCGCAGAGGGAACAGGAAAGGTTGGTTAATTTTGCGCCATGATAATTTTCTCGAAGTTGATCTTTTTCAGGTGATGGCTAATGAACTTGGAAGAGTCGTCGAGTAAATGCCGTCGATTTTCATATCGTCTTCCGCTTCTGATTCAACTTGCTCCATCAGACTGGTAGTACCAATGTTCAAGGACTCACATCCTAGGGTTCGTTATGCGGCTTGTCAGTGTGTGTAAGTTACATCCCGCCATTCAGTCAGGATGCTCTGCATATTGATGTTGTCTGAAGAGGCCAGCTATGCACCGACATCGAGGTACGAAATTCATCCCCATTGAACATGTCACTTGACCCTCACAATTCGCTGTATAGGACATAATAGAGCAATATCATGAACAACTGTTTGCAGTACTTATTCCAGCTCTTGAAGATCCTGAACCTCGGTCCGTTGCGTTACCACGTCCCATTTTCACAAACGCTCATAGCTTTCGACGGACAGTGTACATTCTCATGCGGCAGCCGCGTTGATCAATTTCTGCGAGGGAGTGGAACGCAATACACTTCTCCCCTACCTAGATCCTATAGTGCAAAGACTCTTGAAACTTCTAAATCCTGAGGCAGACCCGACGCAAGTTCAGAGACATGTTCAAGAACAGGTCATAACGACTCTGGCAATGGTCGCTGATGCTAGTGAAGCTACATTTGCCAAAGTAGGTGTCACATGGACGATTGGGCTGTTCCTATTGGGTTTTGAACTTTTCTAACCAGTATTACCCCTCAATAATGCCACTCTTGATAAATGTCCTCCGGAACGCCAGCGGCGCAGAGTATAGGAAGCTGAGGCTCAAAGCCATGGAATGTGCAGGGTTGATAGGTCTGTACCTTATACAGGATGTTGATACCCACCTGAACAAATTTTTAGCTATCGCTGTGGGACGTGAAATTTTCAGGCCAGATTCGAATACCCTAGTTGAATTGCTTATTCGAATACAAAGTGCATCATTTCATCGATTTGAATGGGTTTCTTACTTACTCTTGTCGTCCAGAGAGTCCACTGGACCCTCAAGACACTCAACTAAGTCATTATTTAATGGGAACATGGGCGAAGATATGCCAGGCTATGGGGCCGGAATTTGAGCCGTATCTCCCGGCAGTCATGCCCGACCTATTGACAACTGCTAGTATGAAGGCTGATGTGTCGGTCTATGGTGCTTTTTTCCTCTGCTAGTGAAGCATGTTCTCTCATTTTCCTAATGTGTGTTTGTTCTAGATGAAGACGAAGAAAAAGTCGAGGAACGTGATGGATGGGAAACTGTGAACATGGATGGTCAAACGTTCGGGATCCGCACGGCAGCTATCGAGGAAAAATGTCAGGCATTCGAGACAATGGTGATATTCGCGTCCACCTTGAATGCTCGTTATGCTCCGTACCTGGCACAAAGCTTGGAAATCACTCTTCCTGCTCTGCGATTCTACTTCCATGATGGGGTGAGAGAAGCATGCGCATTGTACGTCTCCAAATTAATGTCTCCTCCCATAATAAATTGCCTTCTCCAGGTTATTACCGATGCTCCTTCACTGCGGCCAACAGTCAGGAACACTCACGGATCAGATGATTGCCGCTACTTTGCAGCAGCTCATCAGTGTCATTTCCGATGAACAAGACTCAACGTTCTTAGCATCCTTATACAAGGCTCTTGACGACTGTGTAAAACTGCTAGGCGGACCCTCCGTGCTCAATGCCGACTATGTCAATGCTATTGTCCAGGCTACCAAACGCCAACTACACACTTTGGCCCAGAAACGTCGCAGTAGAGCCGCTCGGCCTTCCAGTTTCCTGGATGATGACAGAGAAGATCTTGCTCTTTTGGAAGAGATGGAAGATTTTGCATTGGAGGAGATGGCCAAGGTTCTCAGTATGCTAAATTCTAATCATGAATTGCTGGTGGCTATTTCCAGTGTCAAGGAGCTCGGGACCAACCAATATCAGACTGAGCTTGAAGAGGATGGTTGACGGCGATGTCCTTACCCAGAGTGCTTAAACTGGTACTAGAAATTCAAAAACGATGACAACGAAAAGTCGTAGACATAACTATAATTTGTAGGGCTGGTGTTTGATATAAAATCCAAGATCTATGTATCCATAAAATTTCTATCAGTAAATGTACTCTGAAAACCACTGCTTGCTACTATCGCTAACTTTATATCCTTCCGTTGCAGAATTTATCAGTAGGCATTTTCACTTGCATAGAGTATTGGTGTACATTGTCATCCCATTCAAGTTGGTGTCAAGACACCATATCCTGAAGTATCATCACACTTGAACCAATCCATCTCCACCACGGGCCCACCCAGGGAGTCCGGGTCCGTTCTCGGTATAAACATTGGTGGCACTGGTTTTACTGATGAATTATGTATGTTCTGTCTCAATCATGATGGATTGGCTCTCAGAAAATCAATTCAATTCGTAACTAGGATGACTCCAAAGAGTCAGATTCTTCCGTGAAACTCCCACCCAGGGGTCGTAAAAGAGCTTTAGCCCCTCGTCCGAAAAGGTTTCAAGGTGGTTCAGTAACTCTTGTTTTTCAAGGAATGCCGACTTTGAACATCGAAGTCGCAGAATCTCTAAACCGACGCTATCTCGAGGTGAATTTTGAAGCAATGTGGACGAATGCTGCCCTTTAGAAATGAGGCTGGATGGTGGTGATTGACGACGACGGGATTTAAGCATCGCAGTGAATGCTGAATGATCAGGTATCGTATACGCAGCTATAGTCAACTGCTTCAAGAAGGGAAACCGGTCAAAATGAGGAATTTGAGAAATTTCATTGAGACCCCCAGCATTCTGTGTATCACCAGAACCACTTGATGGACTTCTTTCACCGAGAGATAATACCTCCATGATTTCCCTAAATTCATTCACATCCCATTTCGCATCAGTGTGATTTAATTCCAGTCCAACGAGGCTCTGATTGATCAAATCTGCCTCAGAGAAGCGCGTCATCAAAGAGACGAACTGCTCTGTGGGCGGCCTATAAACGCCTCGCTGCGCTTGGATAAGGGTCAGCGTCTCGAGCTTGAACGAAGAGCGCTCGAACAACTTGATCACTTCTAGCTCCAGTCCCTCGTTCCATTGAAGTTGCAAGTTTCGAAGTTTGGGGAGAGCGAGGAATGAAAGCGGTGTGAATTTGATATAGCAGTTAGGGAGTGTCCATGTACAAGAGACGGTGTTGACATTAGGAAGAAGTATAATGGGTTGGACGGATGGAACATCGTTGAATGATGGCAACATGGTACAAGAGCTAAAGTGGATGGTATGGAGGCTGTTGCATTCTTTGAAAGCACGCAAATCATCACATTCGATATAGACGCTATAGAGTATGATGATTTGTATGAGACTACTACTTCTCCAGCGCAATGTCAAGTCCCATGCATGATCTTGTTGGAATGTCGTCACACAGAGATTGGGAGTACAGTGAGGTCCAAATAATTTCCGGCCAGGCTCATCAGGCCTGTCATTCGAAGAGGAAGATATATGGACATCAAGCTTTTTGAGGTTAGGGAAGACCATATCTTCGGGGAAGAAAACCGGGATAATGGGATAGGGAATTGAGATTGTAGCTGATTTCCAACGATGATGGTGTTCAAGGATGTGTATAAGACCTGAAGTTCCACCTATGGCAAGCACCATCTCCTCGGAGCTATACCACTCATGAAGATAGTTCCCTCCATATTGATCTTTCGTGGAGATTTGGAAGGAGATAGATATTGGATGTGGTGCAGTGAGTCTGAGAAACGCACAGAGCCGAGAGGAATACGACACTACTGACAACTTCTTATTGTCGTCGCCATGTCTGTAGTGCAAAGAGAGAGTAGGGTTGAACTTTGGGGAAGAGCTGCAGATGTTTCGCCAGAATGTGCACACGTGCGGAGGAGGAAATGCGTTCGCAGCAGCGTGAAAGTGGTTCTGGGTCGACGTTTCCAATGGGCCATAAGGATCAGGAAGTATGAGAGGTTTTTCGGCTTCTCGAAAGCAGATATGGAAAATTTTTTCAAGGATTTCAACGGGCAGGCTGTGGATAGTCATAACTCAGAGCCGGGTTTGCCGAAACCAGGCCAAGTTGTGATGTTACCGTGTGAGTCACACTCTCCGTGGTCTCCTAGGGTCTCCTAGTGGTCTCCTCCTCATCTGAGTGTCTCCTAAAACTTTTTCAATGACGATGAAAATCATAGGACCAAGGAATGGAGAACTTATTTGCGCTATTTAACTAAGTATGCTTCTGGACACCGTTCGACTCCGCGACGAAAAAAGTGAATCAAGATTAATGATCAATTCAATGCAGGCAGCGACGAACGTCTTCTACATTGGTGAGTTTGCAGTAACAGGACTCGCATCATCAAATTAACTCTAATCTTCAATTCATCATTACTTTCAAGCTGTCGTTACTCATCGTCTCAGTCAACACCCTCCTCGTCTTCTCTTTCGTCGTGACTTTGGAGCGAATGGACGTTCGGCAGCACGGTCTTACACAAAACAGGCGGCGTCAATAGGTCAGCGGATTACAAGAAGAGGTTATAGAAGAAGCTGTAATACAATGGTTCAAGATGGTTCGCTAGTGGAGCTCTAGTCCCTATTATGCGTCTTCATCGCATGATCCTAACTTTGCTCTGTTTTGTTGGTAAAGAATGCTATACATTTATCCTTCATGATTTCTCGCTTGTTGCCTAATACAGGCCTAACAAGTCCGATATATCATCCTTCGCAACCAGAAACAGAACTACGAAGAGGGATCTGAACGTTGATGCTCGGTCATTAGGAAATCGTCTGTATGTTCTATTTTTCTATCCCTTGTTGACGAATGAAATCTCATCCTTCACCTTCCTATTTGAAACTACAATCCCTTAGTATTATGTGTAATGAGACTTCAATGCGGCCCTCAAGTAAAGACCCCCGTTTTGCTTTCTCATATGACACGGTAACGATATCCTACAAGGTCGGAAGCTAGACATGTGTTCAAGGTTCATTATTCGGAACCCGCACAACGGAGAATGTTCTGTGGTTGATTCAAGACTCAAGTTCTTCAAGGATATACTCTCGCTTCCGAGTTTCTAGAAGACCAGGATTCGCAGATAACAATTGACAAGTATATACTGTAGTAGGGCAGGTGGCATCATGATAAGGTCCTTGAACTGCTATCTCCACAGACTCCATCTACTTACTGTTGTTTTGCACCTTCCAGAACACACTTGACCACTTGACATTCGAACATCGTTTACTGGGTACGAGGTGTGCATACGGATTGTCATTACTTCTCTGATAGGAGACTCAGACGACTGTCATAATTTCATTTACGATGAGACTAACGAAGTAAATATTGTTAAGTTTTGGGGTGGCTGACTGGAGAAAGTCCCAGCGGTGTTCGTGAGTCTCATGCATCCTTTCATAAGTGACTTCTCTGACTAGAGGAAATTCTATTGTCACTATAGTCGGAGCTCTAACCTCCATTCGTATCTCTGATATAAAGGACCTGTTCGAACATCTTGCTATCGCCAATTTCTAAGTTTCAATTTTTCATCTCGAACCCTACGTCAAACACAAATGTCCTCCAAAAAATCCATCGAACCAGTGGCCCTCGACCAACTCCTAAAAAAGCCTCATCAATTCTTCCAGAATCGTGCCCCTCCTAGGTTCGGACACGAATTCCTTCAGTACTATAGCTTCAACAAGGGGTTCCTTAACCTCAACAACGGTGAAGCCTATAACAAGCTTTGTTGTAATTGTTCTCTGATAACGACCACATACTATTCTTCTTTTCTTACTAGGATCATTCGGCGCTCTTCCTATAGTCATTACCGATGCTTGCAATGAACTGACTGTATGGCAGGAAGACAATACTGATTATTACTATCGTATCGGGTTCATCCCGCCTCTTATCGGCGTTCGGGAGCAACTCGCCCGGTTCGTAGGTGCCTCGGACGTTGACGAGATCGTCATGACCGCTAATACGTCAACTGGGATGGGTCTTGTTTTGAGGAACTTCCTCTGGAAATCCGGCGATATTATCATACGCTGTGAGTTCTTCATCGATCTCGAAACATGCTGATCACAATCGCTGATGAAAGATCTGCATTCGCTGCAGTCAACACCACCTATGGTACAGTCTACAAGACTATCCAATACATCCATGATACGAATCCGGATGTCGAGATTTCTCAGTATGAACTCCTCTTCCCGACTACGCGCGAGGCTATCCTCGAAGGGTGGCAGAGACATATCCATAACGTTAAGCGGAACGCTCCTCAGGGGAGTAAGATCGTTGCTGTTGTTGATTCGATTGTTGCCAACCCTGGAGCGTCGATGCCCTGGAAGGAGATGGTCAGGATCTGTAAGGATGCAGGCGTGTGGGCTGTAGTTGATGGTAGGTATCTTGCTCTGACCTTAATCTTACGGATATTAATGGCTGCTTCTACTACTAGGTGCCCACTCAGTCGGCCAGGAGCCTCTCGACTTGGCCGCTTCTGGTGCTGATTTCTTCGTCAGCGTGAGTGTGTTCATGTTTCTTTCAGCATCAAAAAGAGCACTCCTAAATCTTCCTTTACAGAGTGCTCATAAATGGTTGAACGCGAAACGAGGATGTGCTTTCATCTGGTTTTCTAAACGGTTCGTATCCTGTTATTCGCAATTGCGCATCCTCGCAAATTGTTGCTCTTGAGCTTACAAACGTTCTTAGATCCCGAGAAATTATGTTGACCACTATCCCTACCTCCGCGTCTTATGTCAGTCCAGGTCCTGACCGGCCTGAGACCAACATTATTTCACAGTTCCAATGTAAGTGTGCCTCTATGAAAATCCGGCACCGCTGACTCACTCATATAGACAATGGTACGATCGACTACACGCCCTATTTGTCGGTTCATTACGCCTTGCAATGGCGCGAATGGATTGGCGGCGAGTCGGCTATACATAAATATTGTAACAACCTCGCTCGAGAAGGAGGTAGACGTCTTGCAAAAATAATGGACACACAGGTCATGGATCCAGATGGAGAATTTACATTGGCTATGGTCAGTCGCATCTCATTCTGTATTCTACTGACATTCAATTGGACTACTAGGTCAACGTTGTACTCCCGTTCCCGAAAGATTTCAGCTCATCTTACGATGCGGCCGTCGCTTCCGCTCTCACGAACAAATTGCTTGCTCAAAATATGTTTGCTGTAACCTTCTACCACCGGGAACTCTGGTGGACGAGGGTCAGTGCTCAAATCTGGAACGAGGTAAGTTCAGTAATTATACCGACTCACCAACATTCCAATCGTCCCTTCCTTTACTTCTAGCTCAGCGACTTTGAAATCCTCGGAAACGCCTTTGTTTCAATTTGCGGTCAGATTGTTATTGAGCACCAAAATGCCAATATCCCACCTGACTCCAGGGCCAAATCCTTCCATTCGTATCTTGAACATCCATTCAGAGGTGCAGTCGCTTGCGATCCTAATGATGGACTTGATTGTCCAAGGCCTGTCACTGCTACCACTGTGGTACCTGTTGGCTACCATACACATCTGGCCTCGATTAGGCCTTGAGCTTTTGTCGGGGGAGGTGACATCAAAGAACAGAAATGAAGTGTCTGCAGTATGTACAAATGAATTCAATGTAACAATCCTGTAAAGATGTATGGGACCTTTCACTATTTCGAAATCGCGATTCGTGGCACTGGTTCATATCACCTTTTGCTTGCAAGATATATTCTGGAATTAATCAGTAAGTACTTTTGTGCAGGCACATTGTGATTGTGCTTGGCCTCAAGCTTTTGCAAACATCTCATGATCAGGCCTTCTTTCAATGACAATGAAGTTTGCGGGCGTACTGTGTTCTTTTCAAGTTGATTTGTTCAATACTCAAACTAATGACACATTTCTTTGCCACTGATATCCCACATATGTCATGATATTTCCTCTGCCTACTGACAACAACTCTTACGCTGTCGTCAGATCTTTCGAATCCAGCCTGAGAAGGGATTCGATAGGTATTTGTATCAGTTTCAGCAAAATTTAGCCTAAGTATCCTTGCCCAAGCAAGGTGCAGTCCACAACAGTGGAGCCTAGTATTACAAGTGTTATGCATATATCATATGCAAATAAAACATACATACATATGACTAGCCGCCATGTTCGCACTTGCGGCAAAGCATTATCAAAGACTCACTCAAGCAGAGCTGGCACATCTCCTCTCCACACCTCTGACAGGCCAATACGCTGCGACACGCTCCGCATAGATGCGAGCAACAATTCCGACATGAGTCAATCCTCCCGTTTGCATGAGCAGCAGGAATGCAGGCCGAACACACAGGAGAACTACATAACCGACATCTCCATGAGAAAAGTTGCTTGTTCAGATCAAGGTTGTGGAGTCCGCTGTCGCTATCCGTGGGTGATGACAAGCCTTCCCTACATCTCCTACATAAGTCCCTCTTTCCACATTCGAAACATCGTTCTTCTTCTGTCAACCCCCCAAAGTAAACCTCCTCGCATTCATCACAATAATCGTCCAAGCAACCCGGGCACTCCCAAACCAATGGGTGCTTATCCCAGAACGCGCATATGTCACAAATCCATTTGTGCGAACAGCCTAGTCCGCCCTCTGGTGAACATTTGGGACAGACGAGGCCCAGCGTCCGTTTACCGTCTAGCTGGGCGCGAGAAGGATCGAAAGGCATAGTAGGTCTGAACATAGACCCTCTGAAAAAGGAATCAATGTGATCATCTTCCGAAAAATCCCCGTCTGAGGTTGGTTTTATCGTAAAGGCATCTTCTCTTCGCGACCAGCATTTTGGGTTGTCGCATCTACCCCATGTTGCTCCTTCCTCTTCCCCAAGATTATCTAGACAGGCATGGCACGGAGCGAGCGCCGTCTCATGTGCAGTCCGCGTCTCCGTCCGCTTCCGTTTCCGTGGATTCGTCCCACTCTGCCCTATGAGGAGAGGAAATTCTGATACAGGTGCGCCTATGCATCGGCCGAAATCTTTTTCAGGAAAGAAACTGAAACACGTTGGACATTGAAGTTTGGTAGCGTTAGTCACGATGTTACTAGCTATATTGTTGAGATGTTTTGCATGGATATCTATAGCATCGTCGTCGACCACTATGGTGGGAGATATCCACGATTCTTCAAACATAACGTCTTCTCCTATGGGCATAATCTACCGCTACTCTAAAGGTAGGGAAATGAATTGCAGAAAGCCACAGTGGTCAGTGGACAGAAAATGCCACGGGTAGGAAGACGTACTGACGGGTGGGGTAGTTGTAGCGGACGAAGAAAGGTAGCAATAACCGCCAAACTGAAGGTATATAGAGTGACAGATACACGGCTATACATAGACGGTTGGTGTTTTGAGTTCGATGACTTGACAAATGATCTGCAAGATGTATTAATTACCTTGTTCCTGGAAGGAAAATCACGCACCTTCTTGCACGAGTGCGGGAGAAGATGATAAGGAGGAGAACGGGCGCTCAAATTGGCGAGACCGAATCTGACCGAATGAATACTCAGATGATCACTGGGCTAACAAAGTGGAATCATGGCTCACTTTTACTGCCTATGTTGGCGTTTCTGCTGACCTTTGCGCGACAATCGCCTCACAACGATATGTTCGACGGAGCGTTACTCAACTCAGTCGAGTTCGAACAGTGCTCAACGGACGGTTTTGTTGATACAACTGTCATCAAAGAACATCAGAGATCTACGGCAATAACAGTAAATGCACACTCCCGCATCGAATGGCGTAGAAAATCTACCGACGTTGGCTTAGTGTTACAAGGATCCAGAGATCTACGGCAATAACAGGATAGGGCACAGTAAATGTTCGCTCCCGCATCGAATGGCGCAGCAAAATTTACCGACGTTGGACTAGTGTAAAAAAAATCTCGAAAGATAGTATATTTCTGTTGAGCATCCCTCTCGGAGTTTTGCTCGAATTCTCTCATGAGAAGACACATAATAGGTCTCTTTTGATTCTGCCGTGGGATCACAATTTCTAAGCACTGAAAAAACATAAGATACTCCCAGTTCAGTTTCGACGCACGTCATGTGCTTTTCAGTGACTTTCAGAGTGACAATCCTTGAGCACTTTTTATCTCAACACCCAGCCCCAATACAGTCTATTGAGAACACGGGCCCTGTTGAGTACCCTCGTAGGTAGACCTACCCAGAAAATCTAAGTCTTATATCCATAATTGAGAAAGCCTATAGCTTTATGGTGTGCGAAATCACAAAATTCACCATTTTTGATGAATCTCAACATTCTTGAAAAAACTCAAAAGTCAAGAACAACAGCACTTGAGGACTTTGTATTGTATTTTGTAGTAAGAGATGTGCATAGATGCCTGTAGAGCAAAATACTCATCATTTCAGCACAGTTTTGTGGCTTGTCCATGGTATGCATCTTGTTTCTTGTTGAAGTTATTCCACTCTCAGAATGGATGGATCACCCAGGTTATTCATAATAAAACATTGCTCATTCAAGCATGATTTACAGCTGGGGATGATGAGAAAAGTGCAGTCAATGTACAAAAATATGAACCGAGGACCATTAAGGACTTGGCGCTTAGTTTAGACACTCTTGCCAGAATGCTATCTCATCTCTGAATTCTTCACTATAAAATCTCAGAAAATCTGATATTGTCTTTAAGCAGTAGGTTAACAGTGCCCGTGTTTTAATTTTTGCATAACTCAAATGAAAACTACTCGAAAGACCAATTCGTTGCACCTTGAGATTTTTGGCGGGGTCACAGCTGTGACCAGCACGTGATATGCGTCGAAACTGAACTGGGAGTATCTTATATGTAGTACAGCACTCTGGAGCCTTCGCAATATATCTCGTTCCATGTAAGATGTATATACGCCTGGATCCGAGGCAAATACATCTTTCTCGGGATAGCGACGTGCTGACCTGGACAGTCATGCGATTATGAGAAAGCGACTGTTATATTCAACACTAAACAGTCTTACCTAAATCGTAATTCAGTCGACCTATTCACTTTTATCGTAGGGCTGACCACTGGCAGGGGCTGACCGGTCGTAGTGTAATCACCATTGAAGAATTAGAACCATGAGGTAGCTGATATAGAGTTCTTCGCCGGTGCTTCAGCAAGGTAGCGAATGGAGGTGCACCTGGTGAGACAGATACAGGTATCAATATTAACATGGATGATGTACCAAAAATATCGAAGATATCATCAATCAAAGAACTTTGATTCTTTCACAACCATCATGAAAAAGAGTCCTAACAATCATTGCCAACTCAAAGTATCGTCTTTAGTCCTACGTCTTCGGCCCTACCACACAAATGGAACGACAACCTTCCTCTCCTTAGGGTACGAATCACCAAACCTTTGTTTGTACCACAGATGCCCTTTGTGTGCCCGCGGGAGCATCAGAACTAATTCGTTGAGGAGAAAAATCCACGGAGGTGTGAGCCTGGGCGCGAAGAGAGAAGGAGGTGCGCAAATGAAGTCAAGGAGAGTGGATGGTAAAGGCAGAATCTTTACAGCATAGCCAAGCACTGAAGCATTGATTGGGAAGGGCGATGCGGCAAAAGCGAAACCGAACCATTCCACCCATTCACAGAAATAGTTTGGATATGAGACATACTTGTAGAGCAAGCCGTAAGGGATTGCATAATGCTCGGAAGTCTTCTTGGTCTCTACGAATTCATTGCTGGTTTTAGTTGCCTTTCCATCAGGTTTGGTTTTCGCTTTACGCCGGATATCCAGCAAAATTTCATCGTGGATTATATTTCCAGCGAAGCCGATGGCCCAAAGGCTGAGTCCAACATAGAATGACGGCCGAACGTGTGAAAGATGTGCGAATGCTGCTGGAGAGGAGAGATATGTTCCCATTAATGATCCGTTCAAGACATTGAACAGTACTCCGGCGATTGGAACTATGATGTGAGATTGGGACCGTGACGGTGTACGAAGAGGCGAAATGATGGCGCGATTGAAATAATGAACCAGATAGGCCGCTGCTAAAATATACTGAGCGAGAGAAGGCTCAAATGACACCGGCTCTCCCCGAGAGAGTGGTGATTTCAAGAAAGAAAGGATGAACATTAAAGGAGACACTATTTCCATCGCTATCCACGACTTTCTACCTGTTGAGTATTAAGGCAAGAGTCACACTGTAGGTCTTTGTAGCACACACCGTCGAGTAGAAGGATACTCTTTCCATTGAGGGCAAAACGACCAAAAGGAGCGTTGATGATAAAAAGTGCTGGGGCGACTATTATACTGACGATTGTGAACCATTTTCGACACGCTATTGAGATCTTTCAGAAGAAGTTGAAAGGTCGTGCATATGAGCATACCATCGTATAGTATTCGTACTTCATGCGGAGATAATTTGATCATCCTTGAACGTTCTCGCAGAGTAGTATGTGAACAGGAGACGAAGTAACAGTCACCGGTGACGACTAGCACGTGACTACATGCTCTCACGCGACGCGACGCGTTTGTACGCGTCTTGTTTCATTTGTGCCTATTGAAGCTGGGCGCTCTTATTATTGACTATTTATTGCTACTACTATATACACCCTGTTGAAGCTCTGTAAGGCTGGCTGACTATGTAGAGGGAGCTGCAGGGTTGTATCCGAAAGTCATAACGAAAGATGAAGCCGTATAAGACGTCTGGCGGCGAGGAAATGAGCGCTTAATGCCACTCCTTATCTTATCTCGGAGCAATGGAATGAGTCACACTGCGCGCTTATTCTTCTGCCTTCCTAGCTCTTTGCGTTGCAATTTATTGTCCGTCATTATGCTCTACGTCTGGCACTTCAGCGCACCAAAGAATAATCCAACTGCAACCACAAACTACAGTGTTCGAGGGCTCCTTGAGACATTAGGGTTCCTTGATACACTGACTGTAAATTTTTTTTTACAAAGCTCACTCATTCATATCTACTATCTCAAACTTGTTGTATATGTATGATACATTTTTGAGAAAACATTCAGAGGCTTAGCTTGTCACCTTATTGTACAGTGGGCATAAAACATAGGATTTCATCAATATTTTGTGTGCAAAACTTTTATTTTATGTTGTGAGCTTGGTTTGATTTTCTGTGATCCAAAGTAAAATGCCATTAAATGATGTTGTTACTATTCCCAAATGTTCAGATACTTTGAAATACCCCAAACCTACCTGAGCATGCGCCAGTGAACGCCAAGTCAATTGGGGCCCCCCATGACCCGGATCGAGAGGAGGATGATGCCCCCACTAGGGAGTCCCATAGGGGTAGAGATCGTGAGCGTGAACACCAACGTGCAAACATGTCCAGGTTGATTTCATGCAATAGTGCTCATTCCTTCTGGGGTTATGTGAGGGAGTGGACTGATGCAAAGAAACGGCCTGTACGTGTCACTGCCTCCCAACTTCACGACATGTTTAAAGCATGACTGAACCCCCTTCCTGACCCCCCCCAACACTTTGACAACAACATCCGGCAGCTGAATGTTGCACTCTCTGATTCCATTCCGCGAACCACTTTGGACCATACAAATGGTCAGTTCTTCTCGAGACCCATTTTGGAAGGCGATGTTGCCCAGTGCAAGAAGAAACTTAGGCACCGTAGTACAAAGAGCGCACGGGGCATTGATACTATATCATACCAACAAATTGAAAAGATCCCCAATACTACTCTCGCTGCCCTGTTCAACCGATGTATCTTTGATATTGACGCGCCACAGCAGTAGTTTACAACTGTGCTGGTGGGGATACTAAAAGTTGGCCTGAATGCGACTGAGCCTGACAGCTACCGAATTATTGGCTTGGAGTCCTGTCTACTGAAGATGCTAACCCTAATCATTGACCACAGAGTACGTGAGTGGGCTGAGGAAATGGATGTGTTACCAAGGTCCCAGAATGGTTTCCGGGAGGGGTACCGTACACACAATAACTCCTTTATCCTGCGATGTGCTATCGAAGAAGCGCGCGCACAGGGAAAGTGCCTATATGTCGCATTTATTGACTTGAAGAATGCCTTCCCATCTACCGATATCCCAACGCTATGGAGGAAACTCTTCAGCTTAGGTATGTCTGGCCCTTTGTTCGACTGGCTTCGGATGCTGTATGCTCGTATGACCTACGTGGTGCGGCATGGGGACCAGGTATCATCAGCTTTCCGAAGCCTCATCAGAGTCCTGACAGGCGACACCCTCTCCCCAATGCTGTGGAACATCTATTTCTCTGACCTTGACATCCCTATACACAACAACGATGTACTCCTTAACGGCCTACCAGTCTCACATGTGAAGCAGGCAGACGATGTTGCTATCTGGTCCATGTCCCCTGAGGGCCTTCAAGTTAAACTCGATGCCTTCTTCTTGTGGTGCCGACGAAACTCCATGGTTATCAGTATCAAGAAAACCAAGTGGATGCTGTTTGGCTGTTTACCACGGACTCTACCAGTCTTTCTCATTGATAGTAAACCTATCGAACTGGTCGACTCCTACAAGTATGTTGGTCTCCAGTTCATCTCGACACATCGGTACATCCTGCAGACAGTCTATAACATCAAAGCATCCAAAGCGCGAAATATCACTCGCGCCACGTTTGCACTGGAATTGGCAATTGGTTGCCTCCCACCACGAGAAGGCATAATCCTCTATATGGCACGGGTTGACCCCCACCTCATATTTGGCTGCGAAATCGTTTTGGACATCGACCTCTCCCTCCTTGGAGATCTTGAACAGGCCCAATGTCAATACCTACAGCGACTGCTCAGAATTAGCAAGCGGTCTATGCGTGCCATTCTCTTCACTGAGCTGGGGATTGAACCCATACGGTACCGGTGTCTGGGCCTTGCACTCGGCTATCTCCAGTCCCTCCTGATTCAGCCTGACCACCGTGTGGTCCGGGATGCATTCACTCACTCGCTCCACCTGGCACAATCTGGTCATGCTACATGGGTGAATGATCTGCGATCTACACTGTCAAAGCTGCCAATCCCTGTCCACTGCACTGTAGATGAGCTTACTGATGGAGATAATCTTGCGCGGCTCCGGAAGGACATCAGGCTGTCCTGCGAGCAATCTCTAACCAGCGACATCCAAGCATCTGTGTGTGTTCACCTTCTACATAATCGACTGGAATTCCGCGAGGATGGTCAGCAACTCCACACCTCCCCAATAATTACTCTGCATGCCTACTTGGACGTGATCAAAGTTCCCAAACATCGACACGCTTTCACTCGACTGATCACTTCCAGCCACGCACTGAGCATCGAGCGCCTGCGGTATGAGGAGCGGTATCGCTCTCCAATTCCTCGGGAGTGGAGACTCTGCCGTTTTTGTAGAGGGGCTGTTGAGGATGAATGTCATGCACTGATGGTATGTGAGGCACAACTCACTCTGGTATGCCTGCGTGAACAGTACTGGATGGAAATGGTGTCAAGTCCATGCCGCGGGCCTCCATTCCGCCGCTCGGTACTCCGAAGATCTGCTCTTTATTGTAATCTCACTCTTATTGTTCTTTCTCGCTACACATACCCTTTCGTTTTAGTCCCTCCTTATTGTCTTTTACTCTACCCTGTAGGTACTACTCGTATAGCTCCTAGTAGTTAGTCTGGCGCTCCGCACCGATGCGCCGATCCGTAGATATAAATACTGCCTGTACGCTACTGTAGTTCCTCAGTTTAATTATCGACTTAGATTCCCTCCTTAACTCTGTGCTCCTCTAAGTCTTCAGGCTCTCCGCCTTGAAGTACTCTCTACTATAACCTTAGGACTTAGACGTTCTCTGGTTCGCTCCTCGTCACCGGCGATACCGCCGCTCCGACCTGGCTGCTACTTAGCTCCTCTCTCTCTACTCTTGATCTCCGGGGACTAACGGCGTAACGGCGGTGTTGTTAATAACTTCACTACTGTCCCACTCGTCTTCCGCACTTAGACACCTTGTAGCTTTGGCACGGTTACACGGTGTACATGATCTTAACAGTATAATTAAACTCAATCCGTTAACGTCGTACTGACCTATCATTTTTATGCCTCCGAAAACTCGAGCTCAATCTAGAGCTAACTCTGAAGAAAACACCTTCTTCACCACAGCTCAATCATTTGCCCCTTTCTCCGACTCTATCTCTGCCATTGGTCAACCACATCGCCGTAATCGCGGTTTCGGTCCAGTGTTAAGATCATGTACACCGTGTAACCGTGCCAAAGCTACAAGGTGTCTAAGTGCGGAAGACGAGTGGGACAGTAGTGAAGTTATTAACAACACCGCCGTTATGCCGTTAGTCCCCGGAGATCGAGAGTAGAGAAGGGAGGAACTGAGGAGCAGCCAAGTCGGAGCGGCAGTAATGCCGGTGACGAGGAGCGAACCAGAGAACGTTTAAGTCCTAAGGTTATAGTAGAGAGTACTTCAAGGCGGAGAGCCTGAAGACTTAGAGGAGCACAGAGTTAAGGAGGGAATCTAAGTCGATAATTAAACTGAGGAACTACAGTAGCGTACAGGCAGTATTTATATCTACGGAACAGCGCATCGGTGCGGAGCGCCAGACTAACTACTAGGAGCTATACGAGTAGTACCTGCAGGGTAGAGTAAAAGACAATAAGGAGAGACTAGAATGAAAGGGCATGTGTAGCAAGAGAGAACAATAAGAGTCAGATTACAATAAGAGCAGATCTTCGGAATACCAAGCGGCGGAATGGAGGCCCGCGGCATGGACTTGACATCCAGCCACTGTCCCTACTACGTCGACTCTTCCTGAAGCCATGGAAGAAGAACAACAATTTGAGTACAGCACCTTGTACACTGGTGACGGACAACCTGTCCAAGTCCTGACCCCTCGCCGTGGACAACCCCCTGTGGTTGCTCCGGCTCGGGGCCGTTCAACTACTCGAATTGATTCTCCAATTCTCCAAGCCATAGCCCGCCGTACTGGGAAACAACCCCAAGGTCGTGCTGCTTCTGAATCTCCTCGTGACCCACCTCCTCACTTCGATTTGGACACTGGTGATCACAACGATCAAGACCCTCCTGTCGACCCCGACGATCCGGGCGCCGACAACAATCATGACGATCTGGATGACGACTCCGGCGGTTTACCGCGTGGTGAGCCTGGTGACCCCAGTGAACCTAGTGGTCCTAGTGGTCCCGGCGGTCCCGGCGGTCCTGGTGGACCTAGTGGACCCCGTTCTCCAATCTCTCCTGACATCCCCAACGAGCAACGAGCTATGTTGGAACTTCTCTCGGGATTCAAGGGTTCCATTGAAACCCTTGGTACCGTTCTCGCCGCTCTCGGCCGTCCCTCTAACAGCTCTGAATCCAAGAGCAAGGTCAAGGAGCTAGACGTATTCGACGGTTCGGACCCCCGAAAACTCAAGACGTTCTTCGTCAATCTCGCCCTGGTCTTTAA